AGGCTAGAGGCGGGAAAATCAAACGCCAAAAATAAAAAGGCGCTCGCGCGCGCGGAAATGTTTTTTTTCGCGATGCGTTTTTTTTTTTTTTCGTGTTTATGACTGCAACTTGCATCGTTTTAGACAATAAAAAAATACGACCTTTGGGGTGTCAGTGCCCCTTTAAGTATAATAGCGAGTTCGTTTCACAACACTCGTGTCCACGCGTGCCCACTCGCGGCGTAAAGCGAGTTCGTTTCGGCAGGCACTTCACGAGTGGTTGCACTCTCCGAGTTCGTTTCAGCGGCGGCACCCCACGCGTGCATGTACTCGCTGCACCGAGAAAATCGGGCGTGCGCCAAAATGCAATCCCGTCATGCCTCGTACCGGCAAGGCCGGCGAGGAGCGGGAGCAGACGACGGAGGTCTCGTCTGTTACGATGTGTCGCAGAACCGAAAAGAAAAAAAAGTAGATTTTCTTATAGAAATCGCGTCCCGCGGGCAACATAATGAAACGCGAGCTTGAATTGTGAGCGTCTGCTATTTCACGGAGGAAGCAATTAACAACCCGTGCTTTATTTGCAGGTTTTAAGTCGCTCTGTGGCCGTACGGACGCTGAAATATACCAGTGTGTCAAGAAATGCTCAGAACAAACGCATCAGCGGCCCCCGAGATGTTTATCCCTATCCGTGTGCGGATGAAAAATTGAACATTTGTCGGCAAAAATCCTCCAACAGATACCTCTGACAGCATGCGAGAAACCTAAACATAGTGACTTCACTCGAGGCTTGGGCAACATCATCATGTTTAACATTTACCTACGTCAGCCAACTTGCCCCGTCGTATTTTGTTCGAGAAAGCTCTCATTCTCGACGTCCTCACCAAGGCTGATATCTGATCCACCTGTAATGACGATCGAAATCGAAAGTCCCACGAAAAGTTTTGCCGGATGTTCTAACAGACTAGTTTTAAGCCATACCCTTTCAGTGTTTCACGCATAATACCATGCTCGAACGGACCAAGCTTCTGCTCGGACAGCGTCATCAGTTTTCTTCACTGTAAACGCAACCAGCTGCTTTGTAGACAGCTGGTTGCGGAAATTTACGCCGTCTTTAACTATCTCTACGACAGCTGAGTTGCTTCAAGTCATCGCAACTATAATCCATAGGTTGCAGCGCTCAACGTTTGTAGATAAACGTTGGTAGTGACTGCACTCTCGCATTCCCACCCATCACTCCGAACAGAAAGGCGCTAGTTTCGGTTTGAGGTCGGTACTCTTTCTACAACATAGATGGCGGCATCATCAGTCTTCTGCACTCGGTGCATTTGGCGTGTTCGTTTGAGTCCAGTTCTCCGTGCAACACTCTGCGTATGCGATCCATTCTCGGGATTCTGGGAGAGAACTCGAACGGTGCCAGTGCGTGTGAAACGAACTCGCTATTAGAGTTTGCACCTGACGTCACTTCCGGTTAGACTCGAAATCGAAACGATCGGAACCAACGTTGTCGTCTGCTATCAGTTCCTTGACGCCATGTTGGAGGCATTCTGCGTCTTATTGTGGCAGCGGTAGCGGCGTAGTCAGACAGCCGTCTTTTTATAATCACATTTCAGAATATATTTTCCCCAAGTCAATCGCAAAGAGGTTCCTCATCTGACACCAAGTGTTGTCCATAAACCCGTAGTTGGGGTACGAAGTTTGTCTGTCGGGATTATAGAGTCAACATAATAATCTAGAGCGAAAGTCCCATGCATTTGGCCACGACGGAATGGCGAGGCATAGACGCTTGGACATAACGGCGGCCTATAGCTGGCAACCCATTTTGGTTGCGACGCCTTAATATGCACAAAGAAACAGCAAAACATATATAATTTCTGCACCGTGCTATTTTCTTTTTTACTTGGCAGAAATTCACCTGAATCGCGCGTTGACAAAATCAAAGTTTACAAGCGCTCGAGCAACTTCAACTTCTCGAGGCAAAGCTAACACGCCTAAACCAGCCTATTTAAGCATGCTTCCAGTAATATGCTAAAGGTATTTCCAGACTAACATTGACCGTTATATGCCACAGTGTTCTTGCAATGTCGATGAGTAGATTCTGCATAATTTTTATGTGCGCGTTTGAACATTGAAAAATCGGGTTCAAAACTTCGATCCACGAAGTTCCTTCAGCGTGGCGCAAGGGTGCTCCGGCATACCTTAAGTTAAGCAAGCTTTATGTTATCAGTTGCACTCAATATCGGTGACCTAAATTTTGGTCCCAAATCGTCGCTTCGCCTGTTATGGCTTATCTGTCGACACCTTTGTAGGTAAGGGGTACCAGTTCTCCTAAAAAAATTGTGCAATGTCCATCGTGTCCGCACTTTATCCCAACCTGTCTTTCGCCCTGTTAGCCAAAAAAATTAGGTGAGCATTTGTACGGTGAGCTTTTGTCCGGTTACCTAGTGAGCTCGTGCACAAATAGAAACTCAGTGCGACGTCAATTGCTTTCTCATAGAGACGCAGTTAATCAATCTTAATTCTTTTTCTTTTTTTTTACTCGCCTTGCAATTTTTTTACATCTCTTTTAAGCATCTCTGATTGTTCTTCTCCACCATGGCAATCGCTTCGCTTTTGCTTTATGACATACCGCCCCCGTCGGCGTAATCTTTCAGTATTTTCATAATAAAATTGATACCTGAACGCTAAGCGGGGGTCACACTGCTCATAAATCCTACGAAGGACGGTCTGCGGACAGATTCGAACGCGAGTCACCGCGAGGTCCATTCTTCGAATGCTGCAGGGCAAAGAGTTGAAGAAGAGAAATGGCACGCGGCATTCGAAACACGGATCTCGCGGTGACTCGATCGTGTCTGTCAGACTGTCTTTTGTATGAGGTGTAAGCGGTGTGAGCCGGGTTTCAATCTAGAATTCCATGTCGGACTTCTGGACCAAAAAGGAGCAAATTCCATTCCGTAGATCTCCTCATTTGTTTTGTATCCAAACGTTTGCTTAGCAGACTTTTTCTTTGCAAATTACCTAGATCGATCGCACACACAGTTCGGAGTGCACAGAATGTGTAATATGTGCGATAGGCTTAGCAAACCTCGTAGGAGTATTTTGCAATTTTTTTTTTTTTGGCCACCTCAGACACCACACATCAAGTGTACTCCGAATTTATCCGTGGGATCATGGTAAGTTTATTTTTCTTTTGTTGGCAGGGGCGCAGAAAAAACTGAGGTTCTGTCTCTTGCATTCCACTGTGAGGGCTTATAAAGTCGGAAGTAGTAGTACGCGACGAAATGACGCTCCTGACCTTGCCGCGTGAAGACACTGCGGCAGTCAGCCTAGAGGAAAGGCAAGAGGCTTCTATTCAAACAGGGCTTGTTCCCGCGCCCTATTGGGCAAGCACATAGAAGACAAAGATGTTGAGACAATTTAGGAGTCCCGTGTATTATAGCGAAAGCTAGAGCACCATAGCACTGCAAGAGGATCTGGCTGCACGAGAGCTCATGCAGCGGGATTACGTTGTTTCGCTTTTCCAGTCTTCACTCTATCGTGACAATCGCTCGCTCAAAATGTGTGCTAAAAAAGAAGGGTTTTTAGGCCACGGTGGAAGAAACACATTTTTCTTCCACCGTGCTCCACGCCAGACTCGTCAAACCAAACAGGTCTTCAAACAGAAAGGAGCGAAAACAGGGCGCGCCATCTATCGGTTTTCTTTCCAACGAATTCCCGCGTCGACGAAGGAGCCACGCGTGCACTGATCGCTCTAATCCCCACCCCCGTTATCGGCCCTTACGCTTCCCTTAGCCTTGCCGCCGTGCCCGCCCTTCCTCCCTCTTTCGGCCTCGACACCCCTCCTGGCCCTTTCGCAGTCGTCGGCCTAGCACCCGCACTCGGCAGTTCCGGCTCGCTCGGCCCTAATCCACGCTCGGCCCTTCCGCCAGGGTCGGCCCAGGGGGGATGTTGCCGACGTAAGGAAGAGAAAATGAAGTATACAGCGGTAAGAGTTCTTTTGTCCACGGCTGTGCGCTAATCTTTAAGCTATTCTTAGGGAATTGAAGTAAAGCGTTTCCGCAGCCCGCTAAGCACCCGGATTGAGCTCCGTAATCCGCCACAAGACCTTGAACTATGCAGACAAGGCTGGCGGCGCGCATGCGCAGCTGCGCCGTTTTCTTCGGGGATACCGTAGCGGAGGAGAAAAACGATCTACTACAATTCCCTATTGAGGGAATACTGTTAAGCGAGCAGAAGCGGCCATTCACACCGAGCGCTGCCTCTATTTCTAGTATGCTCGGCTTGAACTGGACAAGTGTGGGCGCGACGTCGATCACGAGCCGCGTAAGCCACCCGTTCCCCCACGCCCTCTCCTGGGACAAAATAGAGCCTTGGCGCGGCGGCGCCATCGGAAGAGACTGCGGCAGTGACGACGCAATCGACGGCGCTGGTTTCCCGGTGTTGTTGAGCGCTGAAGGGAGGGGGTAATGTTCACGTTCAGCAATGAGCAGAAAGGGGGACGCATGCAAATGAACGAGGCAAAGCTCTGCGGGGAAGGCGGTTGCAAGGCGACAGTTTTGGCAAAACATATTTCACGTTTCGAGTTCGGTTCGAAAAATAGAGATGTTATACTGAAATCGAACGCGTGGGAAGTTTCTAAAGCGTGTAGCAACTGTATAAACCAAAGTGGGATTGCGTATAGCGGGAGTAATATTTGTAAACACCTGTTTTGAAGTTATCGTCAGCAGACAGGGGAAAACGCTCCGCTGACGCTTCCTCGAGGGTGCGCCGTTATTGGCGGCTCATCATGGAAATCTCTCTTTCCTCTTCGCGCGGCGCGGGCAGCGGGAACACCCGACTTCTCTCTCCTCACATTATGAGGGGAGAGAAGGGGTTTTCCATCTCCGCTGCGACGACAGACAACTATAAACGCCGACACCAAAATGCCTGCCGAGTGTCACCCGTAAAGCTCTTGCTTTAAGATGAAGTAAAGAAGACAAAGCCGTGGTTTCAAGCACTCGGTCTTTGAACGCGCTAAAACGTACCTTCTCTTCTCTGGAGCCCGGCTGGAAAGTGTGAATGTTGATTCCGAACAGGCGTCGCATGAGGGTGGCAATCCTAGACTTCCTGTTGGGTCTGACGGTCCTCTTCTGAACCACCACTTGTCGACGCGCCCACGTGGGCAGCATCGTCTCCACCGTCAGCACCAGTTTCACCTGAGGGGCACAAGAACGCTCATTGCAGTTTATCTTTCTTGTTTCCTTACGCATATCGCGAAACCTCACGAAGGTAGCAGAAAAACCACGAAGAATTTCTCGTAACACACCAGATGAAAGTGATTTCCAGCCGCCATGCGCAAAGACACCAGCAGTCAGTGTCTCCCCCCCCCCCCCCTTTCCCATCAAAGTAAAGGACATTCCATATACAGTATATGGATTTCATTTTTAATCTCCTTGTGAAAGGAGGTGCGCAAAAAGTGCGTACGCGTCCCTCTTTCAAATGGATGGAGAAGATATGGGAATAAGCTGACGATTAGATAAAATCCTTTTCTGTTCGATTACCGAGAAAACATAAGGGCCATCATCGTTTACTTTTATATACAGATTCGTATGTGTGTAACACAATTGTGAGAAAAACAAACACCGTGGAACCGGGACTAGAAGGACAACGTAAAATAATGTGACAACGTAGTCTGTGCCATTCACTCGGGTCAACAATCTGTATTTTTTTTTCATATATGCCGAGTCCCAGGCAGTCATAGCACGAGAGTGAAGAAAAGAGAAAGGGGGGCTAAGGAGACGATTCACGGCCGGCGGATTTCGCGTTGAAGAAAGTCAATCCTGACAGCAGAGCTCTTGCTCATTTCGATAAATATCTAGGCATGTCAGAATTTGTGGAAATCGAGAACAGCGCGAGGATTAACGAGGGACGAGTAAATGCACACAGTCAAAGCGCATGTCGGAATACTGACAAAATGGTCCCGGAAAATATGGTCCCGGACAAAATCGTCCCAGAGAAAATAGTCCCGGACAAAATGGCCCCAGACAAAATGGCCTCGGAAAAAATGGTTCGGATCAAAGTGACCTCAGACAAAATGATCCCAGGCCACATTTGAGGCATAGTTAGCTTGCTCTTCGAGGGTTAGTCAATTTTTTGTACCTGATGCAAACCCCCAGACCGATGTCACCAAGCGAACTGCGCAAACACGCGCATTCCGGAAGTGGTACCGTCGCCATGCTCCTTGTAGTCCGCGTTCCAAAACTTACTCGATCTTACTCCAGGGTAAGGGTTTTCTACCTTGGCGTTCTAAAACCAACCCGCGTCCAGCGCTTTTTCATCCGTGTTGTCGCGTGACATGACCCGCCGGAGTAACTCGGATCCATTTGGGTAAGATTTGGAACACAGCGCTAGTCATCGCTTTCCGGCTTCCCGGCTGCATAGGGCTGCGGTTCGCGTACATAGTCATACAGAATCGTTTGGGACGCCCCGGTATCAGCTTGGATTCTCCTGCATGTCTGTACTTCATACGATTGTTTTGTTTGTGACGCTTTAGTTTGTCAGCAAGCGCAGAAAAGCAGTTCCAATCGTCTTATCACCTAATCGTTTTGTCGTCTGCTTCGTGGTCGTCTGGTTCTTCGTCTTCGTGAACGAACCCACTGTGTACACGCGGTGGTACGTCTGCGATCACGAGATAAACAGTGACGCCACTACTCGAGAACTCCGGCTGCTCGGGCGTCTCGATAAACTTTTAAACAAGTGAACGTCTAGTTCAATAGTAAAAAAACACGAACATTCGAGGGACCATCGGCTCGGTGTGGCACCGCGGAACAGCATCGAATGTGTCGGTCGAAAGCTGAGCTTCGTAGTGCTCAAGCTTCTGCATAAAGTTTAATCAACAATGAAGTAAAAAGAGCTGAATAGACTTTCTATGGGAGCTATAATTTTCAAAACGTCGTTTCATTCTGGTTGAAAGCCTGTGCGACAGGGTACAGAAGAACTGCGGAGACATGTCTGCACACAAAGAAGAAATGATCTCCAGAAAGACCATGGCTGACGCGCCTTAACAGCTCGCGTCTGTCAAAAAGAAGCAACCAGGCCATATACCTGAAAACTTTGGGTGGAGAAGAGTTTGCGTGTACAGTTTTTATTCAGTTTTATTTTCTTGGCCCGAGCTCCGAGCGCTAACAGTCGCCCGAAGGGGGAAGCTTTTTTTCTGCGATCCCGAACAAGGTGGGTGAGCCTCGTTTGCTACCTTTTTTGGCATTTTAGCTCACCATATTTTTTGGTGGTACGTGTTGCGCTTATAAATTGCATTATGTTGTGTTTTCACGTTTTGTTTGAAACAAATAAAAGCTGCTTTCGAAAAAGCAGTTACAGTTGAACTGCTGCATATCGGGAATCGCTGCTCTTTTTTTTAGTGATTGTTCTGATATTTTGAAACACAGCTGCTTTCCAAACGTGCCGTCGCAATAGCCGTTATCACCACCACACGGCTGCCCCAAAGTGGTGCGGAGGTCCCGATTGAGATAAATTAACGGATAGACCACTACGGAGCGATTGCCCATGGAAATAGTCCAACGTATTTGGAACACTTCCGCACGCCCTACTAAGTCTCGTGCCCTGTAATCTTACACTCTTTAGCTAACGTGCCATGTGGTGTATATAAATTACGAAGAAAATCGCAAAACAAATCGAAAAACGCTGTTCTTCCTGCCGCGCTATCCGGCTTTGTTTACCTTTAGAAACTCTTTCCGGGGGCTGCTTTCTTTCGGAATGACATACATTCCGATGCCTTTTTGCATGGTGCTGTTATTAGAGCACCCTGGTACAGAACAGGTGAAGCCACCCATTAAAAACCGCGAGTGAACACCCGATAAAACGTCTCCAGCTAACCAGAAAATTTCCAACAGCGTACACTGCGCATTGATGCGGCCGGAAATCTGGGGAGGACTACAGGTACCAGAATGCACCACGGCAGCGGTAGCGTCGCGCAATTCCGGGTGAGATAGGTCCATCGGATATAGAAAAAAATAAAATTTGTTGCTGAATACTTAAGTTATAAAATACTAACCATTTTAAAGTTGTTATATCAAACTTAAAGCCCATTGCAGGGCAGTAGCTGAGCCAATGAGAAGAGAAAATTATAATATATAAATAATATACAAGTACATATATCGAGTCATGTATCTATAATATTTAACATATTTAGCACGAGAAAGAAAAAAAAGGCTGTTCTATAACACGCCATAACCAAACAAGCGGTGCCGAACAGTGCATAACATAAACCAATCGAGCAGTGCCAAAATTAAAAACAAAGTACTTAAGACGTTTGTCGATTTTTCTGTTATTATCACCGGATAGCCTAATCAAGCGCGGAGAGTGAATCGCGAATTCGCGCTTTTAATGTACGCGTGTGTGTTTGTGTAGCGACTTCCGGGCTCTAGATTCGCACGGTGCTCTGACTTATACGAATAAAAGCCATAGAGCCGAGTGAGCCTCAGAGGGGCAGTTCACTAAAACTCTCAAAGAGCGCCCAAGGTGTCAACAAATCACCTGGGATCATTTTTTCCGGGTTTGCGCTTGAGATAATTTTGTCCGCGACCATTTTGACCGGGTCCTTATTGCCCGGGGGCATTATGTCTGGGACCATTTTGTCCGGGAACATTTTGTCCTAGACCCAGGCGTGTCGGCATTCGCCACTCTGAGACAGAGCGCCTTTGGATCGGACGCAGTACTGTTGCTCACACACCTGCATGCCGAGCCTCTTGAGCTCCGCTTGTTCGAGGACCACCTTGATGTCGTCGACGGCGAGGCCGACCAGCAGGTTGGACGTGATGATGGTCATGAGCACGAGGAAGAGCGCCATCAGGATGTACGAGGCCGTCTCGTACGGGAGCACGTTTTCATTGAACAGGCTGTCGTACTCCATCTCGCCCACCATCATCACCGTCGTCTTCATGATGGCCTTCCAGGGGTTGTCGAACGCCGGCTGCGCAATTCACCCAGAACGTCCCTGTTCTCCAGACTCGCACGTGACGCGTTGCAACAAGTAACACGATTAGGTGTAATTCGTTAAGGCCCTGTCACATTGAGGAAACACGGCGGAAACATGAACAAAACATGTTTCTCAACAGTCGGGAAACCTGTCGGCTGTCGGCTCTGTTGCCCGACAACCCTGTCACATTGAGGAAACAGCAACACAACATGGACGACAGCGACAATGTTGTCTCGGTGTGACAGCTTTTGGCAACGGAAACCTCGACAACTTGTGTCGGACGACACGTGTTGCCCATTTCGGTGGCTGAGCGAATTTTTTTTCCAGCAACACGGCAACATCTATATTTTTCTGTACAGATAGTCGCACGAGAATACTTCAATAATAACGTCAAGCGTGAAGGGCAATTTTGAACGCGGCTTCTTGCGCGGCGGCAGCTGATCGTCAAAATCATCTGAATCGATGGCACAAAGAAGCACCCTGTCACACTGCGGAAACAGTCGGAGAACTTTGTCCTTCAACACGAGGAAAACATGTTTTCGGGGACCCTGTCACATTGCGGAAACAGCAACAGTCCGGAAACATGTTGTTGTAGTCCGAAAACCATGTTTCCCAACTTGTTCTCCGACACTCGGGGAACATCCTGTCACACCGAGAAAGCGTGTTGGAAGGACACAAATTGCCTCCTCTCCTGCGTGCTGCCTCCCTCTCTCTTTCGCCCTCGTCTACCCGGCCGGCTCGGCTAAGCTACAAGCGCGAGCTCCGGGCTTTCAGCATCCCTGCCAAGCACGCGCGCTCGTGCAGTGCAAGCACTGTTTTGGGCCAGATGCTCGCGCGGCTGCGTCTGGACCGAAGCTGAAACGAAGTATAGACGATTGCAAGCTCGGCGACTGGCCGCCGCCATGTCTCTGCTCGAGCAGGCACGCCCGTGCGATTATGAGCTTGCCAAAGCTACGTTCACCCGCGCGTTGCACGCGCTTGCACGCATGGGGCACCACTTGTGGCGCCATGCTTGCAATTGTCTATAGGCGGCTAGGCTCAGATCCGCTGGCTCCGCTCGCCCCTTGAATCGTTGCCATTTTGGATCGCCGTCTCATTGCCGTCGCTCTACCGTAGTCGATTCATCAGCCGCGCGGACCATCTCGTGTTCTCTGGATTTGGCGGTTGCGTTCTGCTACAGGGCTAGACCCTTGCAGGATGGCATACGCGTCGGCCACAGCAGCAGCTTCTGCTTTGGTGCTTCTTTGTGCCATCGATTCAGATGATTCTGACGATCAGCTGCCGCAGCGCAAGAAGCCGAGTTCAAAATGGCCCTTCACGCTTGACGTTAATATTGAAGTATTCTCGTGCGACTATCTGTAGAGAAAAATATAGATGTTGCTGTGTTGCTGGAAAAAAAATTCGCTCAGCCACCAAAATGGGCAACACGTGTCGTCCGACACAAGTTGTCGAGGTTTCCGTTGCCAAAAGCTGTCACACCGAGACAACATTGTCGCTGTCGTCCATGTTGTGTTGCTGTTTCCTCAATGTGACAGGGTTGTCGGGCAACAGAGCCGACAGCCGACGTGTTTCCCGACTGTTGAGAAACATGTTTTGTTCATGTTTCCGCCGTGTTTCCTCAATATGACAGGGCCTCAAAGCAGAAGCTGCTGCTATGGCCGGCGCGTATGCCATTCTGCAAGGGTCTATCCCTGTAGCAGAACGCAACCGCCAAATCCAGAGAACACGAGATGGTTCGCGCGGCTGATGAACCGACTACGGTAGAGCGACGTCGATGAGACGGCGATCCAAAATGGCAACGATTCAAGGGAAGAGCGGAGCCAGCGGATCTGAGCCTAGCCGCCTATACTTCGTTTGAGCTTCGGTCCAGACGCAGCCGATGCTACAAGCGCGAGCATCTGGCCCAGAACAGTGCTTGCACTGCACGGGCTAGCGTGCTTGGCAGGGATGCTGAAAGCCCGGAGCTCGCGCTTGTAGCTTAGCCGAGCCGGCCGGGCAGACGAGGGCGAGAGAGAGAGGGATGCAGCGCGCAGGAGAGGAGGCAATTTGTGTTCTTCCAACACGCTTTCTCGGTGTGACAGGATGTTCCCCGAGTGTCGGAGAACAAGTTGGGACACATGGTTTTCGGACGACAGCAACATGTTTCCGGAATGCTGCTGTTTCCGCAATGTGACAGGGTCCCCGAAAACATGTTTTCCTCGTGTTGAAGGACAAAGTTCTCCGACTGTTTCCGCAGTGTGACAGGGCCCTTAGTGTCTTCATTGACGCACTCTATTATGTGATAAAAGAAGAGAGTAATGCATTTTAACTATAGGTTTTGTAACGGGAGTCACTGGGAATGCAGGGAACAAGCGACTGTTTGACTCTTCTTTTTAAGCCACTGCCACGGTGCTACAAAATCATACAAAGACAGTTTGCAGACGCTGCCTGAGGCATGCTTTTTTCGGGTATGACGTATCTGTCACACTTGTGATACAAAAAAAAAATTACCAAACGTGTACGAAGTACGAAGCAAAGGTGCTTCGAATGCGCTCGAAGTGTAGCAGACGAGCTTCGAATGCGCTCGATTCTTGTCCGAAGATAATTTTGTCATCATGTCTGCTTTTGCATGATGTATGATGAGCAGTGTGACAGCTGCCTCGCACTGTAACGCATGTCTTGAACGGCCCAAGAAAATATCTGCAGAATTCCTTAATTTGAACGTGCGCACAAACTAAAATATTGTCGACGTTTTGGCTTGGGTTTAAGCTGACGTTAGTGAATGTGAGCCTCTCGAGCTCCGCTTGTTCGACGACCACCTTGAAGTCGACGGCGAGGCCGACCAGCAGGTTGGACGTGATGATGGTCATTAGCACGAGGAAGAGCGCCATCAGGATGTACGAGGCCGTCTCGTACCTGTCGAACGCCGGCTGCGCAATCCGACCAAAACGCCCCTGTTCTTCAGACTCGTACATGACGCGTTACAGCAAGTGACGCGATTATGTGTAATTCGTTACTGACTTCATTGGCGAACTCCGTTATTTCATAACAGAAACGAGTAACGCATTTTAACCCTTGATTTTGCAACGGGGCTCATTGGGAATGCAAGGAACGAGCGACTGTTTGACTCTTCTTTTTAAGCCACGGTCCCACTGCTAAATACATCATACAAAAGACAGTCTTCAGACACTCTCTGAGGCAGGTTTCTTCCTGGTATGACGGACCTGTCACGCTGGTCATGCGTAAACTGTGTTTATACATCTTCAAAGCATACATGTACGAAGTACGAAGCAAAGGTGCTTCGAATGCGCTCGAGGCGTGTACAAAGATAAGTCTGTCATCATGTCTGCTGCTAACGCCGTGCCTTTAGTATGATGTATGATGAGCAGTGTGACAGCGACCTTGCACTGTAACGCTCGTCTTGAAGGGCCCCACGAAATATCGGCAGAATTTTTAATTTCGAACGTGCACACAAACTAAAATATTGTCGACGTTCTAGCTTGGGTTTTCGCTGACGTTAGTGAATGTGAGCTGCTCTCGTGGCACAGCTAGGATACTTTCGACAATATACACCGTTTGAAAAGTCGCCATGCTCAGTGCGTCTGTTCGATTTACCTTTTGCTCCTATCAGTATCGCTCTCTTTGAAACACAGATGCCAGTTTGCAGCATAACGGAATGCGCCCATCGTAGTCACTGACAACTTAAGAAATGCAAGGCAAGGTGAGCTACGAGCATATTGGTCCGCAGTCAATACGGTTGCGGTATTAGACGGCGAGAAGAACGAATTATGAAGCAAGAATAATAAGCAAGGCCGTACATTTCTTAAAGGGACACTGACAGGGTATTTATGCTCGCCGAAATTTTTAGTTGTACGTGACATATGAGAACCCAACTACCCAGAACAGAATTTGCGGCCCGAGGTTCGGTTTCTTGCCGCCTGAAAACCGCCGATCGAGAACTCGCCGGTTTGAGTCGCGCTCACTCTCTTCTCCGTGGTACCGGGCCGTTTTCGAAGGTTCCGACGCGACCACCAAAATTAATCAAAGTCGTGGGTCATTGAAGGCAAAAGAGTCAGTACTAAGAATAGAAAAAAATATGAAACCCATTTTTTGTGGATTCCGAAAAGTTGCAAATACGTTGACTGAAAAAAAAAAGGCTACACAGACAACCGGAAGCGTTCTGTGCATTCACCGCATAATTCTCAACATGGCGTCGTTTCGCGTCTCCTGGGACTCGCGGATGACAACGGATAATGTTTACATTTCTTTTCTTTTTTTTACAATTATCACTGAAAAAAATAATTGTTGTGGACGACACGTCGCTGAACTAAATGGTATGGTAGTCCATTGTTGACACCTCTGCCGCACAATGCCGCTTTCAGATGCAGGGCATGTGAGGCAGCTCTTCACGCAACATCTTGGGAGTATTCTTTTCGGAGCCGATCACGGGACTTCACCACGGGCAATCACTACTAATTGCCAATACTTAAACGTACAAAACAACTCATCTTGAAGTATAGAACAGCGAGCGGAATAAACATAACTGCAAAGGAATCGCACGGTGAACGCATCCCGCAACGCGTTTTGTCTGCTGCGCGCAAAAGAAAAAGAAAGATCATACGGTCGAGTGTAGCCACGTGACTTCCGCCACTCACTCTCTCCTCTCCACTTCTCCGTGCGGTGCGGGGGTTTCGGTTTCGAGCAGTTGCGCTTTCTGGCTTTATTAAAACATACGTGACTCCGTAGCAAAATATAACTTGGGTAGTATTCCGACGCCATAATATATCGCCTGGCAAAAAAAAAAAAAAAAATTGGGGGTGTCAGTGTCCCTTTAAGGTGTCGTGGAGAAGCAAATGCTTCGAAGCCCGCTATACCTGGTTCTGGAAGACGGCCAGGAAGGCCAGGGCGAAGGCGACGATGAACAGGAAGAAGACCATGAAGAACTGGCTGAAGGTGCTCAGCACGCTGGTGAACATGACCACGTAGATGCCCAGGAAGGGCAGCTTGCGGATGTAGATGACCAGGAGCACCCAGCTGAGGAACACGGACACCACGCCCAGCTGCCACTGCCAAGGCTGCAAGGGGAGTCACAAGTTAGTTAGATATAGTACTACCATCCTTTTTTTAAAGTTCGCAGTGGGTCGTTCACAGATGTTAAAAAGAGCGAGTGCAACCATGTTTTGTATATTCAACTGTAAACCCCCAAACCTGCCACGGCAACGCATTAAGATCGAGTCGCCGTGGTCTTACAATCGCCTTCGCATCGCACAAAAAAAAAAAAAAAAAGCGGACAATGAATTAAAGGCAGTAAAGCTACGAAGGATCATGTGTTGCGGGCATACGACAATTCTCCAAACAGACTTCAGGGACAAAATTTTGAAGATAAGCGAGAAGTGCGAAATACGAGAAAGGAGTTCGTGCGTCGCATCGCACCAGTCAAGCACGAATGAAAATAACTACGTGCAATGCATAGCTCTCACCTCGGGGACGCCAGTTGAGTAGGAACAGTCCGTGAAGTTGGTGACGAAGAGCAGCGAGCAAACGTAGCAACTCCACTCCGACAGATTCTCCAGGTCCAGGTAGTTCCAGCGAGTGTTGTAGATTTGAAACATCTGCGTGACGACGGTTTCGGTCATGGAACAGAAACAAAATTTAAGATCCTCGCTGCTAGTTAGAGAAAATATGAATAACCAATAATATGACGTGTACAAGATTGCAGGGACTCGTGGTTTTCTTTGGTGTGATCGCGCGAAGATGGTTTAGGGTAAGGACGAGCTCAAAGATGTTCTTGCGAATGGGCCCGAAGTATCATCAATAATATGACGTTTGACACAGACGTGTACACGTTACTGAAATCAAGTGACGGTCCGAGATCTCTCGAGAACGTCCCGCAAGGCCCGCTAGCCAGCAACGCAAAATCCCCAGCGTTGCGTGCGTAAACAATACGCTAGCTCCTCTATTGCGTTCTGCGCATGCGCACTCACGACCCGCAATCTCCTTGCGTTCGCAAAGCAATAGCGTACGGTCCACTAAAACTGTCTAGTGGTAACGTTTCCGCGCCGCACACAGCAAACCCAGGTGCGATTTCAGCGGGCGGCGGGTGATCCTTTTCAAAGCTTTGGCAACTTCGACAACGGTCGCCCTACATTACGAACAACAACGTCAACAACTTCAACATCAACGACGGACGTCATTTCTAGTGGTGGGAAGAGCTCATAACAGCTATTGATGTAAAAGTAACGAGAATCCGTTACTCATCCCTTTTTGTTAAAAGTAACTATCATGTCTCTTGTTTGTTATCGACAAAAGTAACCAGGTACAAGTAACGCGTTACGTACACGTCTTTGACACGCGTACACTAACAAGAGAGTAGCGAGACGATTTTTTATTCCCGCTGAAAATTAAAAAAAAAAGGACGGCTTCTTGGACGACCTCGAAGACGACTTCTAGGACGACTTCGAGGACGACACCTACTGGACGACGCCTAGGACGACCTCAGGAACGACGTCGAGGACGACCTCAGGGACGACGTCGAGGACGACCTCAACGATAACTTCTAGGACGACCTCAAGGACAACTTCTAGGAAGACCTCGAGGACGACGTCTAGGACGACCTCAGGGATGACTTCTTGGACGACGTCGAGGACAACCTCAGGGACGACGTCTAGAACGACCTTAAAGATGACTTCTAGGACGACTTCGAGGACGACTTCTAGGACGACGCCCTAGAGAAATTTACTTGCTTGGTAGAAGAGCGTGTTGGTTTAAGTCATGGATGAAGAAAGAATAAACAATTAAAACAGGGACAACACAACCACATCTTTCATTTGAAAGATGTGGTTCTGTTGTCCCTGCTTTAATTGTTTATTCTTTCTTCATCCATCACAAGAGAAATTTAGCCTTTCCACTGAGTGGAAAGGCTGGAAAGGTTGCCGCCGTCGCTCATAGATGGCGGTAGCTGTTCAGAGTTTTGTGTCGACATTAATTTGGTGACGGACACGAAACTGGGGAAACTAGCCCTGAAAAGCTTCGCTGTAAAAAGGCGAGCAAATTAAATCAGCTTTGTTTCGGAGACCTTTTCAACTTTATAGCTAGTACGTGTCTGCGGCCCTAAACGGTGACACAGCCAGCCGTAAAATGCGGCAACCGAACATAGCTTATAATCTATAGGCACGAGCTCTGAGACATTGCTCGGCTTGAGCTCCGGTAGCCCGCAGGCTGCAATGCGTTGGAGGAGTTTCTGATTTACGTTCGTGACTGATTAGTACTGTAGGCATATCATATAAGCTGGAACTGCATTGTACCCAACCGAGGTATACTCGAATCATATTTATTCTTGTTAGACAAAAACAAAAAGGTGTTAGATGTTTAGACAGCGTATCAACACTGTTACTCGCTTGAGATAAGAAATTTAGCGAAGCAGCATGACGCCTAGCCAGCGGCTTTTAACGTGCACCATCCAGGGGGACTAGATGATTGTACGCCGGTACGATACTCATCCAGATGGAAACGGGCGGGGCTGTGGGTATTGAAAGCAGGATCCCCGGGTTCTGCAGCGCAACACTTCACTCTTCCATGGCGTGTTACCTCTTTTAAGAGAAAGATGACAGAGACAATGAAAATGATGGTCTTGGCCCGTCGGGCGAACTCTGTCTGCATGTAGAGGCCCTCGTCGGATGCTTCTCCGATGACGGCGCAGCTGTTAAACCGAGATATGAACCTGCGCAAACCCACAGATGGAGAGAGTATAGCTCAAACAGAGACAGAGTTGTGGGCAGTGACTGTCCAGTGAGGCGCTCAGTATGAACGATGTTCGAACAGAAAACGATTCACAACAACGGTTAACACTTTCTGCTTTTAATTGACTGTCTGCTCATGTTAGCAAAATTAACATTGAATGAAAATGTTTTTTTTTTTTGTTTTTTTAGTTAGGGATAAAAATTCAAGAATCCAAACTATGCAGGTGAGCTGGTGAGATAACATTATTCAAAACCCCGAAACACAAAAAAAAAAAAAAAAATCAACGGACAAAGCGGTCGTCTTGTCCGTTATTTTATTTTCTGTGTCTACGGGATTAAGATTATAATACATTAAAAATGTGTTAGCCTCTCAGGTTCATCCCCTTGAGTTACAGTAATTTGTGTTTTTGCTGCGATTGCATACTTGCGAAACTATAGCCACTATGGCTTCAGAACGTTTGTGACACTACAAATTTATCGGAGAGACATTTATTTTTTGCGTCAAGAGCTGCGCGGACAAAAAAGGTTTTCTTCAGCTACGTGTGCTCAACAACACAAAAATTTCGATATAAAAAGCCCAACACGCGGTTTGCTTATTTGGAAGTAAATCAATCTTACTCTCTCTTGAGCAAAATCGATTTACCATTCGAAAAAAAAACTAGCGCCGAGGTATCAAGCTGTATTCGATTTATTAGCGAGTTTTAGAATAGGGGGCCCCGCAGCTTTGGGTGCCCCAAACATTGGGCGTCCAACTGCGCATGCGCAGAAGTTCGGCGCATGCGCAGTTGGATGACCCAATCTGTTTGGGGTACCCAAAGCTGTGGGGCCCCCTATTCTAAAACTCGCTATTATCTAAAAAGAAAATTTGTTTGCATTTTGTTTCATAGAACCGGCTGGTCGGCGCGCTGAGGCGTACTCACGAGCAGGTGGTGTTGAAGTGCGGGAAGTCTAGCGGGCAGGGCGCGGGCGTGCCGACGGCGAACGACGTGAGGCAGGCCAGGAACAGCACGTACACCGACATGGTGCCGTAGTACACGTAGCGGCCGTAGCTCTCCCACTTGTGCACCAGGAGGCTCTTGCACAGCTCGTGGCCCAGCAGGGCGCGACGCTTCTCGTCCGCCTAAAGGACGGGCAAAATACATAACACAATGCATTCATATACAAATACAAAATATTTGGAGAATGCATTTAATTACAAACCTAATTGCATTTCCTAAGAAAGTATTTAAATACAAGTTACAAATACGACGAGAGTGCTCCATCGTCTTTATATTCTTTTATAAATAAAGAGCGCTTATCTGTCGTACGTGTCCCCTTTTTTGTCCTGGTTTGTTGTGCGCTTTTTATTTCATCATGAACTGCTACCAACTAGCCCACCTCCAAACCCTTTTGCATTTTGTTCCCAGTCTGATATCTTAGACTTAAATTTAACACAAGGAAAAAAAAAAAAGACAGCGCCAAAATAGAGAGCGGATTCCTGATATACCAAGCATCAAGCTTTTAAAAGAAAGTTGCCGCTCTAAAAATAAATTTGTTTGTCATAAGATATCTGGGTACAACGTCAGGAAACACTGTAGGCTTTTCAAACAATGCAATGTCTAAAAAATTAAAATAGCCACAAAAAGGAGGAGGGTAGAACTGAGAGAAAGTTTGCTTTCATCTGCTTGGGGGTCGGTCAGCCTGACGGACAAAGCAGGAAACCGTGGAAACTGCTAAGAAAAAGAAAAAAAAACAATTGCTGGAATCACGGACTGGTAGTCTTCACCTAACTCACATAGGCAAAACATCACACTCGTAGATGATTCACCAGCTATAATAAACTCCTGTCCATCAGGTACACGGCGGACACTCTCAAAAGTGCCCGAGGCTTTTTTTTTCTGTGTGTATGACTCTTCCCTACTCCGCGCGAAGTACCCGAAACACAAATCACTGAATTGGTTAAGCTAGTGAGAAGAGCGGTTTGTGTCATGCGCTAATGCCTATTAAAAAAAAAACAGCGATCGTTGTTCCCCCCAGTTTCCGAATTGGGCTGCCTGGTGCACCCACCATGATCATCAGAGGATGGTTGTGCTTGAGCGTGCCGAAGTCTCGGGAGTAAAGTGGCGTGCCGGGAAGGACGTTGCCTCTCTCGTCGTACAGTTTCCTCACTGCAAGAGCAAGAACAACCTCAATTAGGGGCAGCGCAGTTGTGAAGCCGAAAGTAATCAACATACCTTCATTAAAATATTTTATCCTCACCTTACGCGTGCATCGGTAATTATTGTTCTTCAGCTGAATGTTCATAAAGTACAGCATTTAGTAGCATCTACATGAACTTCAGACTCGAGCTAATCGTATTTTCTCAAGAACTGATGCCAAACATCTCAAAGGTGAAGAAAAAAAATAAGACCAAGCAATATGCGAGAAACGAAGCCTTTAAGCGAAAGCCCTGAACAACCGGTTAACCGCCACAACCGATCGGAAGGTAATGCGGGTGTTGGTGTTATCTTTCCTTAGATGTAACCGAATGCGCAAAAAAAAAAGGACGCCCGTCCGCGTGTCCTCTGGAAAGCAGGCCGGGTATGCCAGGCTTGCCCACTCTGATTCGATTATACAGCGCCGCTATTTTGCCACCAGGGATTTCAGTACCGCAGTGCAGCTTTGACACTAAACCACGAAGTTCTTTGGGTGCTCTGCATTCATAGTGTTTTGTGTCAGAATATGAGAATCCTCGTATACCTACGAACCAACGATCAGGGCGCAGACGAGAGGAAGACCGTTATGAGTTTCCCCGAGGAAGATGCCGACCCAAAAATAGACCTATTGCTAAAATGCCCAAGCACCAAAGAGAACGCTGGGAATGGTGTTCTACGCGCCGCACGTGCTGGCGTCTGCAGCAGTAACTGCTCTAAAGCAAAAGCTTAAAACAAATGGCATCTTCCACGCGCGTTCGACAACGCCTTATTTGGATTATTCACTTGGAATCTTTTAAACGGGGAAGGCAAGCGCGTGCGGGGCGTAGAGCACCATTCCCTGCATTCCTTGATGCTGGGGTGATTTAGCAATCAGCGGCGAGATGTTTTGGTGGCGCCCTCCTATGGTTCCCTCTCGTGACGTCATTACCTTGTGAACAACAAGTTCGACGCTGTTTATAATTACGGTGGGGATCATTGCGCTCTGAAACCAACAGTGTAAACACCGTCCAAATCCAAGTTCTTATATTCTTTTTATTTTCGTCGATAAGAAATCCTTTGCTGACGTCATAGTCAGCATTCGGCCAATCGTGGAAGGCCGACCACAGCGACGCTTTCGATCGCGCATGTCGCCAATAGGTCTATTGTTTGCCGCTGGACGGGCGCTCGAAAGCGTTCGAAAATGACCAGAATCGGTTGAGGCATTATGTCCCGCCCATCAACTAATTTTGGAATTAACTTTGTCAAATGGCGAACTTTCAACGAGACATAAACACCGATAACAATGATAATTCATGAAGAACGGGGAACAAGAAGACAAAGGACCAACACAAATCTAAAAGAAAGAGGATTAGGATACCAGGATCAGGTGAAAAAAATCCGCCTGATCATGGTATCGAACCAGGGACCTCACCATTTCCAGTGGAGCGCTCTGCCTACTGAGATAACCCGGAGTTAGTCGTCACAGCCGCCACCAGTCTAACACCAACAAGGGTGAACAGTTTGCATCTTAAGGCTTCAATCAATCAATCAGAGTTTATTTAGACAATCATCGAAGAATACTGTTGTCTGGGGGCCGTCACAAAAGGCATTGACATGCCTGACAAGGCGACAAATTTAACAGACTAACTGTGTTCGGATTTTTGTATTTGTACTTTGTCCCCCTTGTTGGTAGAGCGCTCAGTTGGTAGAGCGCTCCACTGGAAATGGAGAGGTCCCTGGTTCAATACCAGGACCAGGCGGATTTTTTCAGTCGCTCACGAGTCACCTAGCTGAGTTTGGAGATTTGTGTTTGTCCTTTGTCCTTCTTGTTCCCCTTATCTAGAAATTATTATCGTTATTCTTAACCAGCTCACTCGCACCTTTGCATTAATTGCATTATCCAAATAAACACCTCCTCCCCACACCCCTGTTCCACAAACTTCATCACTAATTGTTTGATGTGCCATAATTTCTTCATGCACAGTCTGGCGTGTCTTCGAAGGAACAGTTAAAAGTACAGACGCAGCATGAAAGCAGAGTGGCAATTTAATCAATTAGTGACGAACATTAAAGAACATGGAGGTTCAACTTCTGCAGGTAATGGTCAGTGGGAGTCTGCCAACTGTCAATATGTACTGACGTTAGGTTCAACTAGCAGTAACAATAGCCGTGTTGGCACAAACAGCAACCAACGCGGCTTTTATATCTTGATCGGTCGTAACTCAAGCGGCTGTTCACAGGTTTTTGCGTAAAAGTTTCACATACATTTTGTTTAACTTGACTATTAATTGAAAGAAAGCCCAATCTGCTCGAAATCCCAGTTCAAGCGTACGATGTGTCGTGTGGTACTCTTTCCATTCAGGGTCACTACGTTCAACGTTTGCCGAGCGACGTAGAGCGTGTTTGTGCGGACGTATTTTGACGTGATGGGAAACGAAACTGAGAAAAGACGTCAATGTCGGAAGCGCTTACCTGGGATGCTGGAGCCGGAGTCCGAGTCACTCTCGTCGCCCGAGTCGTCGGCGGCGCCGTAGCTCGCAAAGGCATCGTCCAAAAACTGGTAGTGGTAAGTGACCGACTTGTTCGGGTCCTCGTCCGACGCTGCTTCCACCACCACGCAGTTCTCGAACACCAAGGTGGCCAGGTCTGCCCTCACGAAGGAAAAGTGCGGAGGCAGTCAGGGAATGCATAGCATCATTGGCTAACATGGCCTTGGCCACACGTCCGAACAAAATTGGGAGGCATCAGAGGCATGTGGGAAGTGTACGATTTTACTTACGATTTCACGATTTTTTCTCGAAAAAAAAAAAAAAAGAGTCCAATAACACGAATCAAACTTGGAGGTTCCCATTCTTGGACCTAGAACAGAACTGCAATTTCGTGCAATTGTTCTGCGTCTTTGAGACGAGATGCTTAGACGAAAAAAGACTTCCTTCCTCTGTTTGGCTGGTTCGTAGCTCCGGTACAGGGATAATAACTCTCCGGTTTGATTTCAGTATCCGTCGACAGTAAGACCCTGTATGGTCACTGAGAGCGTGTAACGTTACACAGTTTTGAGGTCACAGTTGTCGCCAAAAGAACACTGTTGCCGTGAGTGCAAGATTAGGCGATTGTTTTGCCTTCAACGTCTCACCCATAACCGGATGGTAACAGAGGTTGTCTCACTGCCATTGACGCGCCTGCCCCAAATACTCTACTTTTACCTGTTTATGTCAATTTATGCACTGCAATTAAGCGAATGGATGCGTGAAAATTGAACACCACTGAGAAATCGCTACTTTTGTGATAATAGAAGACAAAGATTTTACGGGTCCGTTTGCTTTAATAGCTTCGCCTGCGTTAGCAGAGGTCTCCAATGCCTTCGCTTAAAATTTCTATTCTGAAGAAAGTATTTGGTACACTGCATGCACATAACACGACACTGTTAATAGCAGAAACACTATCACCAGGTTTTGTTTTCATAGAATCGAAAGTTTGTAAAAAAAACTGCCATGTAAAATGCTTCTTTGAGAAAGTTACTTATAAGTTAGTGGCGCCGCAATTAAACCCAAAGAATAAAGCGCAAAACAAAAAAGCGCCATGTCATGTTCACGTTAAAAGTGTATCGCAGAGTACGCCCGGGACTAAATGACCTCTATTTAATGCCACGTGTAGTTCTCTCACCAAGCATTTCGCATGACGTTTTTGTTTAGAAATATCCTCCATGATAAGGTCATTTATAAGCTAAATGTTGTTGCACTAGCAACATTTCATTTAAGCATTCGAATCCCTCCATGCAACGTAACAACCACTGCTTTCCTCACCTGGCATGGAGCGGATGAGACTGCGGAGGGGCGTCTGGTGCACTCCGTTTTGTTCACTGTCGGTCGCGTTCTGGAGCAGTTCTTTCCAGAAGGAACTCTTGAGAAGCGCCTCAACCACATTCCTGTGGATTGCAAAGAGCCACGTAATTCCAAAGGGCCACGGAGTTGCAAAGAAACACGGAACTGCAAAGGGTCACGGAAATACAAAGGGCCATTGAAAATTGTCTTTAGCGTAACTTTGCACACTGCGAAAACTACGGTCCTGGAAGTAAGTCGGTATAGGAGTGTCGGAATAAGGCACGTGATGGTGCTCCAGGCGGCTTTACTACCAAGCGGTTGTCCTTGACTTTACCTCAGCTTGGGTCGGAAACGGACTCTGAGCAGAAGTGTTGGTGGCGAGGACGTCTCTTGTAAAACCGTTTGTTTATATCCACAAATCACCAAGGCGGGCGTGCTGGAATAAGCGTCATAGCTAAAACTGTAAAAGAAGTCTTCTATATATGGGGCATGCGAACTCTTGAGACTCGACTTCATATGCCACTCCCCTCGGGCGCTATAGCTTCGGCAGTGCTTTCTTTCACGCAATCTTATCTAAGGCTATGTTTCTACACTCTCTTCCCCCTTAAAGGGATACTCCACAGTTTTTTATTATTATTATTGTTTCTGATTTGCTTGAACTTTTACTTAACTCACCAACAAACATCGCTAAAGTAGTGTCCCAAATATTGGGCCCAAATGTCGTTTTTTCGCGAAGTTATTGAATTTAGAGTTTCGGTTCTTACCGTGCTTTTCAAACTGGAAGTCTCTACTGGCAACAACGAAAATGTGACGTCAGTGGAAGGCCGGCGTTCACTCTTTGGACTGTAGAATTGGTTCCCAACTGATTCAAAGCAGGCATGGTGTCAAATGAATGCTTTGGAAGCTCGCTCCAGTGCCCGCGCTCCAACACGGAACAAATGATTGGCATATTCTATTTTTTAAACTGATTGCTCGACTGGCAAGTCTACCTGTCGCTGACGTCACGGTACTGAAAAGTACGAGTATACTTGAATATTAGTTTTTACATCATTTTCCTTTGCCGATTTCACAATAACTACTATGAATTTCGCGATACTAAATAGTATACCGGAAAGGGTAAAGGCCGGGGATTCAGAAACTATTGTTAGTTGAGGTAGCTCGAAAAACCTGTAGAGCACCCATTATAACCTGAGACTGCAGCCGAAGCAACAAGCGCGAGCTAGCCCGCGCGCCTGGCTTTGAGGCGTGCATTTCTGGCACGAGTGCTCGTTCTGCTGAAGCACGCTTCAAAGCAGCGACCTCAAGCTCTTGTGCTTGTGATATTAGCTGAAGTCTCAGCTGAAAAACGGAGGGAGTATAGCAAGTTCACTCAGAAAGCACTCATGGAAGTGACACTTTGAATGCGAAAGCCTTGACTCTCTCATGGAGCGAGCCGACATCATCAGCTTTGAAACCACGCCAAACGACTCTTTTACATCGCTTCGATCCCACTGGCTAGCACGCGTCAACCAGGCTTCCATTCGCCGGACACGCAGCTCCATGGGGTGGCCGGTCGTTGAAACTGACGCTGTGCGCCAGTTCCAACGACCGGCCACTTCATGGCGCTGCGTGTCCATCAGCGCTAACTCATGCGCGCAACTCATGCTCCCTAGGGAGCCAGAGTTGCGCGTGTTCATCCCCGTAGCGCCGTCTTTCCTGCACAGCATGTTGATCCTGCTCCTCACGTGACTGAATTCGGCGAATAGTGGCGCCGCGCGTTCGAGGCACGCGGCGCGCTCAAAACTGGGGGAACGTACGCCGGGCGCGGGCAACGTCTACTTTCCTGCATGGCATTTGATCCGGCTCCTCACGTGATCGGATCTCGGCGAATAGCGGCGCGGCGGCATGTGGAAAACAGACGCGCAACTCTGGCTCCCGTAGGGAGCCTATACAGGAACTCTAGTCATCGCCAGTCAGAGCGCCAACACGCGTAGAGCAAGATTAATGTACATGCTTTCGCATTCACAACTCATAAGAAGTGCTTAGGTGTAACTCGATCTTTTTTTTTTCTTTTAATGATGATTTTTTTTGCCATTTTTTTTTTAGGAGCTTTGTAAAGTAGGATAGGTAGTAAAGGCCGGCAAAGTTACCACCAGTTAAAGATTTCGATCTTTGCCTTTTGTATCCTCCTTATACGTACTCGCAGTCAAGGAAAGTCACATTGTCAACAGGTGCTGCAATCAGTGATTCGGGGAAAAAAGAGTACACAGAGAGAATAAACTATAAAGCTCTTGCTGGGCTAAACGAAAACACAACATAAACTGGGTGAGTTAGGAGATCAAAACTAAGCTTATACTCCATTCACACGCCTTTATGCCAAGCGGCGAATCAGTTCGCGATCCTCCGCGCGTGGCCTGTGCTCGCGACCCAAGAGCGTGTGCTGATTTGCCGATTGCAAAGGGACCTATGTTGGAGATAGCTTTTTACTGGCCGTGTGAATGCGTGTTAGAATGTTGCTAGAAATCGACTAATGAATCGAAATATGTGAATATGGCAGCCCAACGAAATGCCTAGAATTATACGGTGCAGCACAGTCAGTTCGACCACGCGATATGGATACTTTTTCGCATTTCACTTATGGAGAACAATATTGAAGACCAAATTTTGCCACACAAATTGTAACCATATAAATCAATGCACTACTAGCTTTCCTGGACAAACACTACCCGCGATACGTTTGGAACACCAATCGTCGGCCTTTCCTTAACAGGTTCGTCCAATTAAAAACACGCGATATCCGTCATCAAGCTGCAATTGCCAAGTGGTCTAAGTATAAAAAAGGAGTACTTTCTGCCACTGCGCCGCACGATCATTAGAGCAAACGACAGATCGCCTTTCCACATGGTCAAACTGATTAAAGGAATAACACTGATTAGGGAGTTTTAGAATAACGTACGCAATTTTAGCGCACGCTAGCGCTAAATTTAGCGCTTGCATTAGCGCCTGCGACGCGAGGGTGTTTTAGAATAGCGTTTCTACGTCGCGACGCAAAAGCCCAAGCATCTCGCGCTGACGACGCCACCAAGATACAGTCACAATTTTTATTTCGCACACGAAATGCTGTAACCTTAGAGAGAAACAAGTTTTTTGGTCCAGAGTACGATTTTAGATTTGTTTAAACACGAGAATGCGACGCGAGCGGTTGACCGGTCGTGCCCGATTGCGTCGCCTCGGCAAGAGAGGTCTCGTGTACTGACCTTCGCACATATTACCTTCGCCGAGAAGTGTTCGCGCGTCACCAGCATCAAGCTGCCGGTGATCGTTGCCAAACCGAGTACAATTTCGTCTCGTATTGAAAATCGCAGTCGCGAGGATGCCGCCGACGTCGCACTCACGACGCTGCCTCAGCAGCCGCCGACATAATCCTGGAAGCCGCCATTTTTGCTTAACTCCGCTTGTCTTGGCTTTAGCCAACTTCTCATCATGAATCCTCCTTGGAGAAGCGCAAAGGTCCTTTGCGTACGCACGCTATTTCCGAGAAATAGCGCACGCTAAAATTGCGCACGCAAAGCGCAAAACCTGGTTTGCGTTCGGAGCATGCGCAGTGGCGACGACGCTATTCTTTGCGTGCGCAAAGCTTTAGCGTGCGCTATTCTAAAACTCCCTATTGATACTTCCAGCGCAAGACGTTCCGCTATACATACAGACATTTCGGATGGAGTCGTTAGCGTGCTCCACTAATTAGTGGTTACACGACAGCCGACCGGTGCGATGCATATCGTACCTCAGTAAGAAATAAGCGAGAACAATGGGTGATCACGATTTGTTGCTAAAGCCCAGAAGGCTCATAAGGGACAGCACATTGATCACAAGGTACTCTCACCTATGGTCTTCTTCAATGGCGATGTCGAGACAGTTCTTCCTGTTGGCGTTCCGCTTGCAAATAAAATCGCGAACATCCCTGCGGTTGAGCAGCAGCTTCACCACAGTCTCCCTTCCAAACTGGGCGGCGATGTGCAGGGGCCTGTTCTAAGGAAGAGTAAGCAACGTGATATCTCTGCCTCGAAGAACTCCCGCCAGTCAACCGGACCAGGAGCATGTGTTCCTGGTTTCCACTTTTCTCACTAGTCCAACAATCTCGGAAGTTCCCCCGCGTACGTATATTGCGCCCCTACGCACCAGAGAAGAGAACCATCTCACGCCGGGCAAACCTTGGCAAACGCTGACGGCGCTATATTTTAAACTCGCCGATCGCGGTTCCTTACGTAAGAACATTTTGCTGTTGGTAAGAGGAATATTCGGAACATGGGCGGCCAGAACCATCGCAGTAGTTGGTCTTCCACGATTGACCCCAAGCTCGAAATAAACCTACTTCACGTGACGGTTGCCATGTTGAAACATGACGTAGATGGTTTGGGCGACAAAGAACAAAGTAAATAGCTTAAGCAAAAGTACAATAATAAAAAGGCTAGTTAGAAAAAAAAAAAGAACTAGTGGCACGAGCACCGTGAATTTTAGTGTCTGCCAGTCGGCGGTTGGCTGCTGAAGGTGATTGAAAATGACAACTTTGAGATGGGTAGTATTTGCCACCGGTCAATAGACCGATCTCACCAAGCGTTCCACGCATGCGTGACGCCGCCATAACTGTAGTTCGTAGGTGGCAGACGCCAGTTCACGCGACAGCTCATGCTGCCTCGTGGTCTGCTCGCGCAGACCTCCAGCAGGGTTGTCGCGCGTGCAGAAAGACTACAGCTCCCACGATGCATATCGACAGCGGTGGCGTACTCAAACTAGCTGGTGAGATCGGTCTATTGAATTGAGCGTGGCGTTACGACTCAGCAGCTCGCTTGGACGCTCGAGCTCGTACGCCGGATGCCGCTCGCAGGATTGTGTGGTTCTGACCTTCATCTTGTCGACGCTGTGGACGGATGCCCCAGCGCCCAGCAGCGTGGCGACGGTGTCGAAGTCGCCGTTCTGGCAGGCCACGGTGAGCGGCGTGCACTCGTAGTAGTTCTTGGCCTCCAGGTCGGCGCCGGCTTCGACCAGCACGCCAGCCGTTTCGCTGAAGCCGCCGTAAGCCGCTGCGTGCAGAGGCGTGTTCCACTGCATGTCGGTCTCCTTGACCAGCCGCTTGTCGTGCTTCACAATCTCCCGTACCACGCTGCGTTTCCGGGAGTTCACACGAGAGAGTTTAAGCGTCGGGAGAAACTGTCTTGCACACACTATCCGAAGAAAAGTAACTGAATACATAATTCATTGTGACCCGGTGAGAAAAAGGCTACACCTTATTGTTAATGAAACATAAAAACAAATTAATTTACATCTTTAATTATTGTCCAAATGCTTTTCTAATCAAAAAGCTTCTCACTCAGAGGAATTGCAACGAACCTTTTTTGCATAATGACGACGCCAAGTGGCTAAAACTCCAACTACGGTTGGTGTATGAAATGGGAGTTGCGAACCCTTTCCTGCCTTCTCTGCGGCTGATCTGAGTCGCGGAAGAGGCAGGATAGTGCAACCATTCTTCCGGACGCCAACCAGAGTGCGAGCTGTCGCCCCTGCTAGAGGAAGGCCTGCGTATGAGCAGAACCCTTCTTGAAAAAGATTAATCGCAATGTTGATTTTTTTTTTTTTTTCGGTAACATGTACAAGCCTGTCAAACGGTTTCTGTGACAAAAAAAAAAAGAGTAAACGACTCTTATCAACCGAGACTGCGTGACCATTGGAGCATGTTACTAATAACCCTACTCAATAGTATAATTGAATAAAGGATTACCAATGATTAGAGTTCCAGACATCGTCGCGGCGCACTGTACTCTTAAGGACTAGTGTGCAGTCACTGGCATCCTTAAGAAAGGCAACGCGTGGCTTCTGTTGCCGTTCCTTGCTTCGTGACTGGTTCTTCAGCATTCTTAACGGAAGCAATCTCAGTGGCTGTGCAGCGATAATTTTATGCCATGGACTTGCTGCGGCCTGCCTTTCTTCGGATGTCAATGAACGTTATTGCCACACCTCCCTGCCTTTTTTTTTTTTTTTTCTATCATTCTCTTCCGCCGATTCAAAACCTTCTAGATAGCGAGGTCATAGTTCAGAATTTTAGGCTTCACCGAAGGTCGTGGGGCACAATCAGACGCGAGTGCGAACACAAGTGCCAGCCGAAAACTACACGGCCTTGCCATCTAACAGGTTATTAGTAAGTCTCGTCCTTACACTCTAAGAGATGTCGGCGCGTCTCCTTGCCCGCGAAACACTCAAAGAGCCAATCTCTGCAATCTACGAAATCAGCTCAGCGAATGATGACGCGGAACATCTGTTCAGACCTCAAAATGAAGTCTGCGCTGTAGAGTTATGCAATGCAAACATGACGATTTGCATTGCTCAATGCTACAGCGCAGACTTTATTTTGAGATCTAAGCAGATCTTCCGCCTCATGATTCGCTCAGCTTATTTCGTAGATCGCAGAGGCTGGCTCTTTGAGTGTTTTGCGGGTAGGTAGATGCGCTGGAATTTCTTGGAGTGTATCACAGAAACCGGCTGTTCTAGAAACCGACAGGGGTCGTGCTGACGTCTGCGGAAGAATAATAGCCAGGGGAGTAAACGACCTAAGTGGGGGGTTGTGTCACAGAAACCGGCTGTTCTAGAAACCGACAGGGGTCGTGCTGACGTCTGCGGAAGAATAATAGCCAGGGGAGTAAACGACCGCCTTCGGCGGATGAGCTCGCGGCCAGGCGCGTGTCAGGTTACGCAGGGAGCGCTTCGTTGAAGCGACCGCATGTTCGGTGTTTCTTGGTATACACAACCTAGAGTGGTTTTGGGGGGTACACCCGTCTCTGCAGCCCCAGATTTACGAGGCGAGCTGGCGGCTCGCTGTTGGAATGTGTTTTTTCGTCAGCGCTCGCATTGCCTGGCGGGTCTTAGTGTTTAGAAGAACCCTGCTTTAGGGTCAGGGGTCAGATTGAGGGGGCAACAACCTACCGTGGGAACAAAGAAAGTGCGGGAACCGCGGGGTTGCCAGGACTGACAGTGCGAGAGAGAACTCTAAGGCGGACGGACGCATCGCGACGTCGAAGGATGCGGCGAGACCTTGTCGACGGCCCCACGCCAGGCACCGGACGAAGCTTCCAGTGAGTGTGCGACCGCAAAAAGTGGGCGTGCGGGGCCAGTGAGCCGCGCCCACGGTGTGCCAAGCCACCCGCCGGAATTTCTCCACCTCGGACGGACCGCGCAGGGAGACGCCAGCACCTCAACGCCAGATGAGACTTTTTCTTTGCACTCACCTATCCTCTATTTTAGTTTACCATTAGGACTCTCTTAAACTTAGTATTTTTCTAGTACTGTCTACACTCTCAGAAAAAAAGGTGTATTATCACACCCCTTGTCCCATACAATACACCCCAAAACTTCAATTCGACGTACAGAGCCCTATAGTCGAACAGACGGCCCCAAATTTTACGAGGGGCTTGATAGCCTTGTGGTACAACTTATTAAAATAGCTAATATACGGTTTACTGACTACAAAAAAGATTATCGGAGTTTTCTTGGCCCTACTGCAAAAACTCAGTGTTTTCTTTCTATTGTCTTTGATACATACTTTAGCTAATTAAAACGTTACATCGCACCGTTATCAAGCCCCTTGTAAAATTCGGGGCCGTCTGTTCGACTATAGGACTCTGTACGTCGAAATGAAGTTTTGGGGTGTATTATATGGGACAAAGGGTGTAACAATACACCTTTTTACACCCTTTTTTCTTGAGAGTGTAGGCAACCCCGAGCATGAAATTGTAAACCGTTATACTGTGTGTACCTGTGCTATCTGCCGTTTGATGTCTACGTGATTTTTGCATATTATATAGCGCCTAATTATCTACCCTATCCCTTTCAAATTAAACGTCATTTATATATCCCACACACGCCTCCGTCTCTCTTCATTGGTAAGACTCTCCACCAGAGCGTGGCCCTATCGCTCGGTCCCCTTCTTTCACATCGTCACTCGGGAGGCCTACCGCCTTCCTGTGACAGAGTGTACCTTCTCCCGTTTATAAAGTGAAACAACATGAATGAACAAACACGAGCGACGAAGTAGCGCGAGGTCGGAAGAAAAGTGCAAACGGGAGCGACTCCCTTCGCCTACTTGGGATAGTTGTACCGGCAGGCCGAGTGTAGCGTCGTTTCCTCGCTGATGTTTTTGGCGGCAGGGTTGGCACCGTGCCTCAGCAGGAGCTGAAATGTCAAAGCGAGTTTGCGCACTCTGTAGAACAGCCACCCAAGATGATGCATCGCAGAACTGGTGGTGGAGAATATAAACTCGGTGGTGCAGCTCATCGAGGACTTCGACTACATCGAACAAAATACGCGGAGAATCAAACCGGAAGGAACTCTATCAAATCGTGAATGAGCAGAAACTTTGAGACAAGCTAAAAGCAGACGTTTTTGCAGGAAATCTAGCGTCTTCGAGGCCACGAAAAAGCTAAGCGTCTTAGCGAAACGTCGGCTTCCACGCCGCTTCCAGGAGAATTCATTTAAAGTTTTTCGTGTTCTAGCTCCAACAACCTTCGTGATTTGTCTAGTGAACAAGTAAAAAACAAGAAGAGATTGACCATTTAGCATTGAAAATAAACCAAGCTGGCTCAAACTAAACTGTACTCGAACGAGCAACTTTTGAGTTTGCCTATATGATGCTCGCTTTTTGCCTTTTCAAATCCGCTGAAGGGACTTCTGCAACTGTATATTCTATTAATCGAACCGCAATTAAGTTCCCTTCAAACGATCACCGCCTTTTACACATTTCAACTGATGGCAACCAGCAGGAATGAAACCCATTTTGTGGGAAGAACATACGTATGGCATCTTTCAGTTCCTTATACGGTCGTACGCTATCATTTATGTTTTTTTATAAAATTTCGCCGACACTCACAGCCACGTACATCAGTTAACGCCGCCAAAACTGTCGCGACCGGCCAGAATCACTATTTATCTGGCAACTTCAAGGTGGCGTTTTTGGGTTCCGTTTTATAATGTCTGAACTTCACCACCAGTGAAGTTCAGACACGATCTACGAAGGACATTTTTTTCGGAGAGAACATGGCGTCTTTCAATTGGTCATTCTGTATACGCCAACACTTCTTTTCAAAATCCCGCGCCGTCATGCAAGTTTGCGCCAAAAAGGAAGTCCGAATTTGTATCCAGACACTTTCCCTGGCACGACTGACCTGGACAATGTCAAGAAAGGCGTTACTGGCGGCGTGATGCAGCGGCGTGTCCCCGTTGCTGTCCTTGGCGTTAATAAGGAACTCCGAGTTTCGGACATCGAGTAACTCCTGAAATAAAAACAGAGGCAAACGTTTCTTTTTTTTTTTTATTTCGTTTTGTAACGCTAACAGATGCAGAAATTGTGTACTGCCACATATCGTATTAAGGCGAAAGCCTTATATGTCTGATCGTTCAGTCGATTTTCAAAGTCATTGAGCGAAAACACGTCGGCGACAAGAAAGGTACCAAAACCCGCGGTTCGCCACTGGACCACGAGATGGCGTTACTTGTGCCAGAATCGGCGGAGGCGCGCGCGCGGCACGAACCCAACGGGAGAGGGCGACACTCTCGCTCGGGCAGCGGTGAAGAGCGGGGCTGCTACTTGCCGTGAGATTAGGGAGTTTTCGTACATCGTTTCCGCTGTACCGCGATGTTCTCCACAACCCGCTACGGGATCTGGGACTCTGCAAGCAAGGTTAGCGTCGCGCATGCGCAGTAGTGGCGTCTTCTTTCCGGAAGGTTAACGGCGCCAAAAGTGCGTCATCAGACAGCGCGCTGTCTCCGGAGGTTCCCTATCAACGGGATCGGCGCTTGAGCTTTCGCCTTGAAATCGTCTTAGGGATAACAAAGGGACCATGCGAATTTTATGTATATATATATATATATATATATATCATTGCACGCGGTTCTAGACTTTCTCGTTCCGGGAGTAAGAACATGTTAAATAAAAAACTAAGAATAGGGAGTTTTCGTAGACTGCGTATCCCCCTCCGCTAAGCCCTCTGCAACGAAGAAGCCGCTACTGCGCCTGCGCGCCGATGGCCTTGATTGTAGAGTATCGTAGCGGGTTGCGGATAGAGCGTTGCGGCGAAAATGATCTACAAACAACTCCCTAATATCACTTGAAAGTTCACGTGCGTGGCGGAGTTGGCAACGCACGCGGCCGCCGCGCGGGTTCGAACCCCGCTTTCCCTCGATCCCCTTTATTTACTATTCTTTACTCTTCTGGAAAGTTCGAGCACATTCTTGGCTGTCAGAAAGTGTTCGAAACATTGCTGAAGCGTGTATAAAAGCAGCAGTATCGCGCTGCTTCAAGTCAGCCACCATTACGTCAACGACGCAGCTGGATGCTCGATACCTTGTCTTTTAGTTTCTAGTCGCAAGTTCGCCTCATCAAACATTTATTTTCTGTTTTGCAGTCATTTATCATGTTACCTCCGTGAAAATACCCAGGGTAAAACTAACAACCAGCAAATTTAATTAGCACTAATTACATGAATTAACCCTTCCGCGGGAGACAGAATGAAGGCAGTAGCAGTGTATAAAGGAAAGGCACCAAGAGCCGTGTTGACGCTAAACTTAAAATTTTCTTAAAAAAAAAAAAGAAACCATAAAATAGTGAAATATTTTAATTTATGGACGGTGAATTTAACTGCACTACTTCCTCAAAGTGCAGGTGGTGATCCTATCCCTACGATAAGCATACACGTAATAAATGGCAGGTATAAGCGTCTAATAAAAGTGTCCAGTTCCGACGTCGGATAACTTCATGCAATCTCACTCAATTGAAAATAAGACATTTTAGTTACTCAACGCAAGAAATATCGGTCAATACCCAAAGGTCGTTAAACACTGGAGAGGTGTCTACATCGTATATACTACCCCATATGTCACTAAAGGCCCTACCAGTGTTCGCTTCAGATATAATGAGGGAATTAACCGAATTGGCCGCGGACGCCTCGAGCATCTTCGAAATATGTTTACTCTATACATCTGTAAGTCTCGAAATGTCTGCAGGCAGTTCTTGTGTGACCAACCTCATACAACGACGGCCTGAGATAGCCAATGCAGACTGTCTTTCGTATATGATGTACGAGCAGATGTGAGCGTGGCTTAAAGGAAGACCTGGAGCACGTCGGCGTTCTTGGCGAGGACCGCCAGGTGGAAGACGTTCTGGTCCCTGTCGTTCCTGCGGCCCACCTCGGCGCCGCGGGCGAGCAGCAGTCGCACCACGTCCACGCCTCCCCCGTCGACGGCGCTGAGGAGCGCCGTGTTGCCGTGCACGTCACAGTCCTCCAGACCCGCACCCCTAAGGAGTAGAACGCGCTGAAGGCACACACACTCAATCCTCCGACGTTGAGCGGAGTGAAAGCAGAGTAGCGAAAAGGGCACGCGTCTTTCATTGGCTGGCGAGCAGAAGCTCGATATCTGCGACCAATCAGCATCTGTGTTCATTGTGCCACGTTGCAATATACGGAGGGAGATCGGCCAATGACGGGGCTGATAATATCTTCAGACTTTAGAAAACAGTCGGCGCAGAGGCGCTGAGCACGGTGAAACGACGTGCTAAATGCCACAGCACGGGCTGTCTTCTTAGCTGTAAACATATTATTAGCATCGACAACTGCCAATCTCCCTCCATAGAGTTCAGGGAACTGAATGAGAATTTTGGTTTAATGTCCCTCCGGCACTTTATGCTCGAAGTGACCTAACTTTAAAGACGGGGGAGACACAAACACACATACTCGGAGGTCCATCAGCGCATACAGTACCGCGATGCAGTTAATTGGTGGGACGTCTGTTTTCATTGGTCTTTAAATCAATTCAACCAAAATGGCAGAAGGCGTCCACCACTCTTTTTGCCGCCATAAATCGAATATCCACTAAAATGATATACCGCTCGCTTTTGCCATATTTTAAACTGATTATAAAACTTTCAGCTTTTCTGCTCTGGTGAAGATGGAAGACCAGCGAAGCTGTACTATGGTGGGAATGAAGCAATGGCCGGCCGCAACTCGGCAAGCCAGAGTGGAAAGTCTGGAAAGGTTGCCGCTACCTATAATCGACGGCGGCAACCAGACAACCGGCAAGCCGGATGTCTGGATGCCGCCATTTTTAACAGATGGTGGTAGCTATCCAGAGTTTTGTGTCGACATTTCTTTGTCCACGGGCACGATACTGGGGAAGCTAGCCCTTAACAGCTCCGCTGCAAAAACAGCAATGAATCGCGTTTCGTATGCGACATGTTTTCGTTGAAGAAAGAGTAAGTAAACAAGCGAGCTGGTTGATGTTACACATATTAAAAAAAAGGAGACAACGGACGAAGAAGGGGACAAACACAAAATGTCTCAAACAGCAAACAGCTCAGTCGTTTTGGGTTTTGTCCCCCTCTTTGTCCGTCGTATCCGGTTCTTTCAAATATATGTTTTCGTTTTTGCTGAACTGTCTCAGAAAGCTGTTCCTGAGAAAAGAATCATCGAAATGACTAAATGTGGCGTATTAATCCGACGATAAATAGAACTACAAGTGTGTACGGCAGAGATACCTAAAAAGAAAGATCGTGTGTCCTGACAGGGGCTGCCAAACGTTAGTAGGCGCTCTAGGTCTCACAGGAGTTTCGTTCTGAAGTTCTTAACCACACCTTGACCACCTCCGCATTTCGTAGAAGAAATGGGGGATTACTGTTAACAAATTACACAAATATAATTGTCGAATGAACAGCCCCAAACGGAGAGGAAAGTCCCTCAGGAATAAAAGGTCTTCACTGGAGGAGCAGTGCAAAGCTTCCTCTGATTCGCATCTTCGGTACAGCCCAGAAAGCGTGGTTGCGGAAACTACTTCGACTGCAAAAACACTCCAGCCAGAAAGCACGTTTTCGTGGTGCCAGGCGCTCGCGCCGTTCCTCACGACGCTGCACCAAGCCAGAATAACTTGTGTCTCTCGAATACGTGACATGCATTGAGCGCAAACTTTCTGCAGCGCGCACTTTGAACCACAAAATTTTATTTTTTCATCAAGAACAAATCGCAATGACCACCAGCGTATAGCGAGATGACGTCACGTGCAAACTATGTCAAACAGTTCAGTTTTCAGGTGAAATGCGATGTTCTCTATGCTAGCAAAGGCGGATGTCCAAATTGTAAAGTTATATAGTGTGTATAGCAATCCGCGATGATATGCGGCCGCCTAATAGAATGTTAGAGCCCGCATGACTGATAAAGCACAGAGTTGTAAAGTGAGGGCCCAAAACAAATGCCCGTAAAACGGAATATAATATTAGCCTCCCCAGACAGCATTTTGCGAAGTTTCGAGCTCGTGCAAGTCGATGTACAAATGTGATTTATATTGTAAATATATTGTCTGCGCTTCGCGCAATTTATGTGTAGTTAGGAATATCATTGCATGTTCTATATATTTATTGTTGCAGTAAGGCCATACAGAAAGTATGGCGTCATTTAGAAGAATGCCATTTATCATCTCTCTTTCTGCATATTTAATGTATTTGCGTTCAGACCTCTTATACGAGCACACAATATTTCCTGATTCGATCTGAGTATGAAGGAGCGTATAGATTAATGAGTGAACCATTTTAATCATTCTTTTCTGCACTATTATTCGCCGCATCAGGGTACTGAGTGGAAACATTGTTGGTCAGAAAAACAAGCGTTTTTCTGAAACAAGGTCAGAAAAACAAGCCGGTCATTTATTGTATAAAAGGTGAAGTCCTAAACTTTTTCGGGACATTTTGAAAACATTACTACTTTTAGCTCAGTTGCGTCGTCATCCTATACATATATTGTTAAACGTATTTCATGAACTTAATTTCACGATCTATGTGTCGAGGAGGTGCCCATTTCACGATTGTACGCACTGTAATTAATTAGTAAGTTCAAGAGCGCAGCTAGAATTCAACTTGTAATATTGCGACGCAAAGTTGTACCAATCACGGGTATTTTAGGCGACCTTCACAAAATCGTTAAAAAAAAAACTTGAAAGCTACATTAATGTGGGTTGTACAGGTTCGTTATACGGCCGGGGGGATATAATCTAGGAGGCTAACCGTCACGATAAGTCGAACAATAACTAAGCTTCGTTAATTGCTTTTAATTAGTGAAATTATACACATGATTTCAATTGGAAACTTGCTGAGCTTGTTCTAAAAGCACTAAATAGGTCATTTATAGACATAATTTGAGCGCGTTGGAAGTGCAGAAGTGCGCTAGAGTTACCACTCATGCAGCAAGCACAAGGCTGGGCGTTGATAAGACACGGAAAAACCGCGCGGGCGTGTCGTCGCACCGGTATTGATAACTTTAGCGCTCCACCCAGCTTGCAGCGTGCTCCGAGTCTTTTTAATATTGACTGGTGTGGTTTTAGATGACGCTCAGCAAGTTTTCAATTAGAACAAGAGTTTCTACAGCTTTTTTTTTTAAATAAATATGCTAAGATAAATTTGCTAAGCTTAAAAAGGAACACTATGTATATGCGACCAAGCCTAAAGAAATGTGTGCTGGGTCGTATAAACACGACATTTTGTATGTTAATCCAGCTTTTGTTTTACTGTTCAGTCAAAACTTTAAAAAAACGTTTTTTTTTTTTTGTTTTTTGGTTTTCAAAAATAAAAGTGGTTTGTACGAACGATAGAAAGGTTACGCGTTTCACGGTTGAAACAGTGCATATTGGCAAAACAACGCGAAAAACATATTCTCAATTAAGCGGTTCAAACCGGTTCGAATTGTTATTTTTGCTCCCCGGAACTGAACGGGAACTAAACCGAAAGCCGTGAACCCGAACCCGAACCGAAACGTAACAATTTCCGTTCGACTCGCCTCTACGAGTCGAACGGAAATAAATAAATATATATATATATATATATATCTGGAGCGTCTACTTTCCCGCAAAGCACTCGGGAGAGCCAATCGACGCAAGCTACGAAGGGCACTGGGCGAATGACGGTGCAGATAAAGTGTTTTTTCCGGGCAAGTAGACGCTCGGGAGTGGTTTTACCTGTCCAGGAGGAAGGCGACGATGGGGGCCCTGTCGCTGGTGGCGGCCAGCAGCAGCGGCGTCCGGTTCTCCTCGGCCAGGGCGTCCAGGGTGGCGCCGTGCTCCACCAGCAGCCTGCACATGGCCTCGCCGCAGTGCATGGCCGCCAGGTGCAGCGCCGTGTGGCCCGTGCACGAAGGCGCGTCGGGGTTCACGCCTGGAACCAGTGACGTACCAACTTGTTTTTGAGTGTGGGGGGAGGGGGGGGGCAAACGAGACCCCCCCCCCCCCCCCCCCCTCCCAGGGCCGGGGGCGCTGCCCCTGGTATCTCTTGGGCGCAGCCGGCCAGTGTTTGCCCTGCCCAGTGGCGGCTGTTTCGGACCGGGGGAGGGGGGGGGGGGGGGGGGGGGACAAAACACATGCCTTGCTTTCTCACTCTGAGAACTGGGGGGGGGGGGGGGGCAAGCGCCCCCTTGCTCCCCCCCCCCCCCCCCCCCCCCCCCCCGGTTGGTACGCCCATGCCTGGAACCAGCAGCCGAAACACCCGCCGTTCGGGGATCAGCGGCAATTACGCACCCACAACTTCCCCCGACAGTACACTGCGATGCGCTTAAGCCGCGGGCACACTGCAAACACATCGTACAAGATACAGTCTCTAGACACTGTCTGCAGACGTGTTCGGAACATACAATCTATGAAGCGAGCATGCATCGAACATTCTTGAAGTGTGTCGGCAAATACTTGTGTCGTAATGTCTGTAGTAAATGCACTTTTTTTGTACCATTTGTGAGCAGTGTGATTTAGGATTATGGCTCTGGGGCGCTAATCCTTGAACTTCCTTTAACTATATCTCTTAACTTCTTACAAACCAATTGTTCACTCTAACTATAGTTAAACCAATGACGACGGCGGTCAGTACCGTGGCCAAATGAGCAAGCGTGCCACAGAGTCTAGAGAGGCGTTCACCCCTATTGCCGCTGGGACCGTGTGGCGCTTGGAGTGGGATACCTATCGTTTCCTCGTAGGCTGAACTGGTTCAAGTGAGGTCGACGATCGGTGCTCCTAGTGCTTGACGATTGAGACTTTATGGGATCGTAAAACTCCGAATACTAAGGATAACTTTTGTTTTTGTGTGTGTGTGTACACTTGTATAAGCGAGAGCGGTGTAATGCCGGCATAATACGCTTAGGTAGTTTCTGCTGCATCGATGATCTTTATTATGGGTTAAAACGTTTTTCAACTGTCAATAGGGTTACGGTCGGCTATTTAGTGGCAGTGTTTTGAACCTACACTACCAGTGTGGTTATCTAGAATTCACGTTTCTAAAACTTAACGAACTTACCCGCACTGCATTTTAACCGGCCTGATGGACGTTGTAATGCGCACATATGCTCCATAAAAAAACGAGAATTAAATATACAACGAGTTGTAACTCATAATATGTAGAACACAGGGCACTCATCACTTCCTTTACATAAGACGTTTAAAGATAATAAAAACATGAACAAAATGTTTATTATTTTACCAAACAACTCCCTCGAGGCAGGGGTACTGCAGAGGACGGGTAAAACAAACCTATGTTATTCCTTAAAAGTGAAGACATTAAAAAAAAAAAAAAAAACGACTGACCACGGTGGGGGAAGTGTCAAGTAAATCAAACTCAGTAATGCGAGAAGGCAGTTCATTCCTATCATACATAAGTGGAGGAAAATAAATATAATTTCAAAGCCGCTCATGCAAGGCGAATATGAAAACTATTCATTGTTCTTGAGTGTGGAACAAAAGCGTCAGTTCTAACACAGACGTTGTGCGGGTTGTGTATTCGATTGAATAAATCGACAAATACATGTCTTACCGTGTTCCAAATAAATACAAAATCAAAATCGTATACTTCAGTCGTTCCGTGCGCGTTTGTCATGCATTCGTTGTCTGCAACAAGCATCTCGAGACGTCTCGAGGACAGGAAGTTGTCGTCGCAAATGTTTCAAGAACGGCCGATTCTCAGCAAACTTCTGTCTTGGTAAGTGTGAAATATAGGAGTCCTTTATCTATTATTTTAGACATTGTAAAACCCGAGACGTAGGACAAAAGGAGAAGAAAAAAGGGGACGACATGTCTCGGGGTTTACAATGTTGAAAGTTCACCAGCTCGCTTGCATCTTCTCTGTAATTTCTATATTTTAGACGTTTAAATTCCACATGCAATTTTTTGACCGGTCGTTCTTTGGGATCTAAATCCAGTCCCATATATCCGTCCATAACAACGCACTTAGCAACGGATTGTTTGGAGTGGTGACGTCATACTTACGCAGTCAATTATGAATAATAACCCTGTTTTACAGCCACTTATACTTGGTTCCAGCTTAGCGCGATACGCCACCGGCGCTACGAGCTCATGAGACCAATCAAACGGCGTTCAAAGCGCAAGTCACTAGAATTTTTCTTTTTATGATTATTTCAGCGATGACGGAACACGTGCAGAACCATGACGAACGCCATGTTGCTACGTTTTTGACGATGTCTGATTGGTCCGATCGGTTTGTAGAGTCGGCTGCGTCCGGACTTGAGGCGAAACAAAGCGTAGAAGGCCTTCAAAACGAACTCTTTTAAATAAACAGTGAATGAGCGCACGCCGATGGGAACGCATAGAGTCGAGATCGGCTTATTCGCCGATTCTTTGAAGGAGTTCATTTTGAAGGCATTTTAGCTGCCCGTGAAAAGGGCGTATAAATCATAAATAATTTGTACTTTGAAAATAACAAGATAGTATATAGATGTCGAACACGCACTCAGACAACTACGTTTTCTTTACCTAAACGCCTTCCTTTGCGTTCTATCGAAGTAGGACGTCACCCAGATACGATCATACGAAGCACATCGCATCAAAACTTGAGAGGATGTAAGTGAGAATTGTTACAGCAACAGCGTTTAACCTCCATGTCTGGTCTGCGTGACCCATTATAATGCGACTGCCAGAGCAAACCAAGCGTTTTGCAGAGTGGCCGCGCTCACAACCGAGTCCTGATAGCGCTATCTGGAACGGGTCGCCAAATGATGTGTCAACACTGTCCCCTATTGCCTCGCATCGGAGTCACTGTGTCCTCGAAACGGCCACAACCGTATGTCACAGGCGTCGCCACCATAGCGCGATGCCGGCAGCCATAGCACTATGCCTGTTGGCATTAGGCCCGTTGTTCTGGGGCAGGGGGCGCGATCACGTCCGCAAGACACGACCATGTTATGCTGGCTGCATCATCCACGCGGCGCTGTAACGTTCGATTTTGCCCGTGCCACGTTCGAATACTAGTATCTGTCAGCATCTGTAGATGCACAATAACCACCCTCCTTGGCAATAACCAAACGTCTAAAAAATAAAAAAAATAAAAATTACGCAGCTCCCGGCCTTAGCGTCCCATTAAACATTCCTTTCAGCTTTATTATTCGTATCGCTTTCTTTCACAGCTTCCATGAGCAGGTATGTTTCACTCTACGGGATAGCGAAACCGGTAGAAAGCTTCCCCTGAACGATGATCGTATTGCACGAAAGCGCGTTTTTGGCAGGGACACTGAATTCTCGGAGCTCGCTGTTGTAGCCTCTGATACGCTGCAGTCAGTTATGACTGAACGTAGTATAAAAACAATACTGTAGTGTAGGAACGTAATGAGGCATGTTCGAAACGCGAGCCACAAATATCCTTTTTTGCTCGCTTGGAGCGCTCCTCAAAACTTAAAAGCTACGGACCTATACCTGTGAAAATGGTGCCTGGAATGCGAGTCTGACTGGTGTGTTTAAAGTGTCCTAAGAAGTGGTACTCCGACTTCCGCCTCATGAAGTCATAGAAATGTCATGCTGTCGCCGGCCTCAATTCTGGCCGTGTTAGAGCAGCGGGGGTGGATTTGGCAGACGACGGTTCTGCTGCAAGTCGCTCTCCAGTTTCACAAGCCGTCCAGGGACGCTTCGGCAGCCAGGAGTCGGGACGCCGCGACGACAGCGACACTCGCGTTCCCTCCTGCTTTTTCTTTTATAACTTCTACACTCTGTTCACCCTTAAGCTGAGACTGCAGCCAGAGCTACAAGCGCGAGCCAGCCAGTGGTCCTGGCTTTCAGACGTGCATTTCTAGCGCGAGTGCTCGTTCTGCAGAAGAACGCTTCGAAGCAGCGACCTCGAGCTCTCGTGCTTGTGGCTTTGGCTGGAGTCTCAGCTTAAGGGTGAACGGAGTATAGGCCTAACCGCCAGGATAGCGACATCCGACAGCATGACATAGAGAGCCTAGGAGTAGGGAAGTTCCATCACAAACCAAGTTCGTCTGCTTCTTTTGCAGGAGTTGTTGTGACGTCGGAAGGATGCCGAGCTGTGATTGGCTCCGATTGAAGGATAGTGGGTGGACCTCAAAGCAAGCTGCCTTCAGGTCCATCCACTATCCTTCAATCGGAGCCAATCAGGGCTCGGTGCCTTTCTGACGTCATCACAACCCCTGCAAAAGAAGCAGACGAACTTGCGCTCCGCATTGCAGACACCACCGGCGGAAATTGGTCGCAAGTGCGCATGCGCTGCGTTGTCGCGTGGCGAGGAGGAATGCGGGCGGAAAGGCAGAGAAGCTCGAAGACGGCAGACGCGTCCGTCAGCTACTCGCGCAGCTCGTATTGCAAACGCGGCCCATAAACCACGCGACGCCGATCGAGCAGTTGAAAACTCTCTGTAATGTAGGTTCTCTAGCATGATATACCGGCTTTTGTGACGTCATTTGTTGCCGCTTTGAGACCAGTTTCGATGTATGGGCGGGATAGGGCGCTAAACACACCAGTCGGAGGCGCTTTTCCTGCACCGTAGTGCAGTGAAGTAAAGAGAAGTGCGCGCCCTCTGGGCGGCGAGAGGGTGTCGTCCACTTGCCCCGTTCGAGCAGGTATCGTGCCACCTCGAGGTGCTTCCCCTCGACGGCGTAGTGGAGCGGTGTCATCTGCTGCTTGTCTTTCCTGGAGAGCAACTCGGCGGCCTGCTGCTGCTCCAAGGGACGCTCGCCGTTCACCAGCTGCAGGGGGAGAAGCCTTAACTCGTGGGAGGGGGCTTGAGCTCAAAAAATAGTTTTACTGAGGTTTTTTTGTTTTTTTTGGCCGCTGTTTTTTTTAACTTTTGTTTCATTTGGCGTGGAGTCATATTCGCTGCCGACGCGGCAAACTAAAGCGAATTTACCTTCTTTTTTTATTGCACGCAAAATGTTACTTTTGGTGAATGCTGGAATGGTCTATGCAGCACCCTAGGTGAAACCCATATGGATCCTAAATGGGTAATGTGGACCTATAGTGGTCCCAGAGGGGCCCCAGGAAGTGAGGCCACTTTCTTCTGCTTGAGCGACTAGGGTATTTCAGTGTAGGGGTTTTACATTTTAGTGCAGGATACACCACCGGCGCATTAGCGGATGCATCGTATCATCGTGTAGTTTTATCAACTTTTATGGGAGCGCAAAAACGACGGCTAAAACTCCGTACTATTGAGAAAACTACACCATACGTGTTGGACGTGATTAAATTTTGAGCGCTTGGTTGTGGAGGTGTTCCAGTCCCCGAGAAAAATGCTGGAGGACACGATACATCTGTATCTTTCCGCGCGGAAGTAGAAATCTAGCAGGAGAGCATCCCATAACGCCGAACTCCAGAAATTATAACCAGAGGTCGAAAATAAAACCTCGGGTAAAGCTCACCTACATTTTTAAATTACGTTTCTTCTGATAAGATTAGGTACATTTGCGAACATAGTTTTATGATCAAAATAAATCAAATACGCTGATCAGTCGCGATAAGGCGATGATGATGACGACCTTCCGCTAAAATTGTCATTAGGGAATAATGGAATGCGCTCACTGGAGGGTACCACAAAAGCCGCGGCTACACTCGCTCTTGAGCTTTAATTTGTGTTGCTGAGTCAAGCCCAAAGACCGCCACACATCCGGGCGCACTGGAATCATGAAGGTAGGCAAACGATTGCTGGCTCACGTCTTTGTCGGCGTCGCTGCACAGCGTGCGCAGGGCGTCCAGGGAGCCTTCCTTGGCGGCGATGTGGACGGCCGTGAGCCCCTTCTTGTCCACGGCGTTCACGTTGGCGCCGTGCTCGAGCAGGAGTCGCACCACCTCGGTGTCCCCGACGGTGGCCGCGTTGTGCAGCGCCGTCCGGCCCTGCTTGTCGGTCGCCTGCAGTGCGCCACATCGCGGTTGCCCTGGAGCTCGCATAAAGGCCGTAGTAGGGCTCCATCGCGTTCTGACGACGAGTGCAACTACCAGGGTATACGCTCTCCATTGTCGTTACCAACATCGAGCCGGAATTATTAACATTTCGCAATTGAAAAAAACATCTTTCCGGAAGCATTGCTGGGGCAACCGACGTTTCGCTAAGAGACGTAGTTTCTTCGGTACATGAAAGAGCCAGGATTATAAGCAAAATGTTGGAACAAATGGTGGCTTCAGGGCTATCTATTTTGAAGTTACTTTTTCAGCTAGGCTTCCCTTGACCCGTATATAAGTCAAGTCCCACGTAAAACGTCGCGGCTACCACTCTGAGACTTCCATGAGGTACCTTCTTCAAGAATAGGAAAAGCCAGGGGAGGGAACTCCTGACCTCCTTGTTCACGCTGGCGTAAGGCAGGAGGCACCGGACCACGTGACTGTTTCCCGAGAGGGCCGCGTGGTGCAGCGGCGTCATGCCCCAGGCGTCGATGGCGTTGGCCCCGTCGCCGACCGCGGACATGAGCGTCTGGACCATCAGCGACGCCGAGTCTTCGCAGTTGATCATCATGCTCTGAGATAGAAACAAAAGCAATTCACGCTGACGCGTCCTTTGGTTACACTCGTGCTACGAGCGCTTCGCACTTCGGTTTGGATGAATATCGGATCGGCGAGCGCTCTTGTAATGAGTACTAGGTGACTCAAGCCAAATACCCCAGGTTAGAAGTTGTGGATTGCGCGGCATACTAATAATCCGTTGCCTAAACTTGTGGCATATAACAACTCTGAGCTTGACTGTTCCGGGTATGGTTATGCTACAATTTATGTGTCCACGCAAACAATAACGTACTAACAATCCGTTGTCTAAACTTGTGGCATATAACAACTCTGAGCTTGACTGATCTGGGTATAATGATGCTACAATTTATGTGGGCATGCAAACAAAATGTAATGCCAGCAAACGAGCTGATGAATAATGGCGAATGCCGTATGATTGAACGTAGTTTCGTTGAATGCCGCTTCATCAAAAACTATTTCATCGAAAACCGTTTCACCGAAACCATTTCATGGAACACTACCCCAGCCAATTGTGGTATACTCCGAATCTTTACGATCATATTTATTGTGTACCGGAATTGCGCTAGGTTTTCCCATAACCGGCACAGCCTCGCGTTTGACTTTCAGAAAACAAAGTAATGTTCGGCTGTGCATGCTTGTGCGTGCGTAGGTCGAGAAGGGGATGTGAGGGCGTGAAATGAAATGCTAACAAGTCCTATAAGAGGACTTGTTTGCATTTCTTGTACGCGATCTTGTATGATTGCTGATATTTTTTTTTCACGAATAGGATACCTAGCACAATAATAGCATCGCACACTGGTACTCTCGCACCCAGTTACTGTGAACGGTAATCCACCCGGTGCCTCGCTGCAGCGTTCGCTCCAATATCGTTAAAATAGGAACAAATATGTGAGAATAATTCATCTTATAAAAACACTTTTAATAGTCGGGACATAGTTCCTATTTTGTTCATTTTGCGTTGTACTACCCTTCCAATCAAACGCCTCTCATTAACACTTTTTAATTGATTCCCTGTTGGATTTTCACTAAGGGATTACACAATCAAAACTTGAGTACAAACAGAGGATTGTCAGACGCCGAGTATTATTATAAAAGTAAAAAGTTATCTAATCGCAGAAACATACATATCTTTATGAACCGAAAGCAGCTTTAAAATACTTTCAATACCAAGTTGGACGCGTCATTGTTATTACCAGATATGACAAGTAAGTGCAACTACTATGCAAATATCCTATATTTATACTTGGTATTTCTATGACCTCACTTGAGTACCTTGTGTCAAAGTGCATTTAATTTGCAATTACCAGTTTCCTCACAAAAAAAGCGTAATTCAATAGATGTTTTATGTGCAGCTCGTGCACAGTTTGTGCAGTTTGTGCAGTTTGTGGTCCCTCGGGACCACAATAAGATTTCGTGTTTCTGGAAAGGCATCGGGTATATCGGGAGCATGCTTTGCAGAGCGCATCTGGAGCTGTTTTTTGCCTGTCAAAACAATTTTCTAAAATTGCTCCAGTAATTTAGAAAACAATTAATTTTTTACCCTTTCAGACATTATCGCTTACTATAAAAAAATTGTAACCATCATTAGAGAAATACCATCATCTTCTTGACGCCTCGAATAGAATTAAGCATCGGCATAACGATTGTGTAATACCACAGTGCCTTGTACGTGGTGCAGGGTGCAACTCATGTTCCAGGCTTCCTTTCTTTTCAACACTTCTCTCTCTCTCTCTCTCTGTGTGCAACTCATGCGGCTGCCACGCGGAGGAACGGGGTCCAAGCCCCGCTCGGCCTAGTTCCTTTCTTCTATCAATCGATGGAATTTTGGAAAGTTCCAGCCCATTCGGCTGTCATCGTGTGTTCGGAATATTCATCAAGGTTAACAAGCTGCTTCGACTCAGTCGTCCTGACGACGCAAGATGCGAGGGACTCTTGTTTTTAGGTTTGCAGGTTTCAGCTCGGCCTTACTAAACGTTTGTTTTTATATCTGCATTCTTCTATTTTTATTGGTAACAACATCAATACACCGGCAAAAAAAACGACGAAATTAGCATTTGTTTGTGGCAATACGTGTTCATTCCCAGCACAAACGAGGTGTTCGGCAGTCATATGTGAGGGAGTAATAGTCTTAGATAAAACGCACTGCCGTCGGATCTTAACGTGAGAAGCCAATTTCAGCCAGAGTAATGAGGACGTATACTTCGAAGTAAGAGCCCTGTACTGAACGCGAAGTGACCGAGATCCGTGTTGACGGTATGCTCACCCTTCGTTTCTCTGGACGTACGTACTTGGCGACGTAATGCAAGGGAGTGAACCCCATCCTGTCCTTGGTACTTGGGTCTGCGCGAGACAACAATCAAAACAAATGTCAATGACATGACAGTAAGCTAGAGAACACGCGGAAATTTTTTGTGGTGGTGTTGCGAAAACCAAATAACTCCTCACATTATCACCGGTAGCTGTTCAGTAGCATCCGATTCGCAGATGCGCGATAACGCTTATCACCTTCGTTATCAAAATCATCGTCGACGGCACAGGTATATACAGGGATGGGCAAAATACAGGCAAATATGTATCGAAATACAAATACAAAATACTTTGTCAAAAATGTATTTAATTACAAATCTAATTACATTTCCAAAAAAAGCATTTTAAGTACAAGATACAAATACAACCAAATGTATTTGATCTCCTTCAAATACTTATCCAAATACATTCCTCAAAATTTGCGTCAGCGACTTCAGGGCACCTGCAACGGGATCCTGGGTATCTCATTTTAATTTTGCGTCGCACACTCGGGCGTTAGTGTGCGAGGCTCTAGTAACGTAATAGAAATATAATAACAAAAAAATGTAATCAACTTGGACGTAATAGGTGAAAAAAGTACAGAGCTTCAAGCAGTTTTTTTTTTTTCGTTTACATTTTGGTATAGACCGACAAAGAACCGAGACGACCAAGACGCGCAGCACTAGCTAGAGAATTTTTTACTGTTGCAACTCGCACCAGTTACGAGAATCTGGACGACCCGCGCATTTAGAATGTTCCAGGCAAAAATATGGAGGGAAAGCAGGCTGGAAAGCATCACAAGTTGCCACAGGCACTTATTTAGCCAGTCTGCCGGTGAACGTCGATTTCGTCACTATTCTTGCCCTGGACTAGCACCGTAATCAGAAAGTCACTAAACGCTTGTGCTTGATTGAGAGACCCTGCATTCGGTGCAGAACGTAGTTTTCTTCCTGTTCTGGACAGTGACAATAAATTTGAGGGATGTATTTTCACCCACAAAATTGTAATTAATTACAATTGTATTTGAAATACTCACGTTTTAGTATTTAAATACACACGTCAAATACATTACCCAATTTGTAATTAAATTCAAATGCAAAATACACAAAGTATTTGAAATACGTATTTCAAATACTTGTATTTGATATACTGCCCACCCCTGGGTATATACAACTCCGAGAACCATCTCGGTTTGCCAGCTTCAGTTAAAAGGTGACCAACAGCCGCCCCCCTTGCCCTCTTTTTTTCTCGGGTTTTTTCCATATTGTTTCAGCTGAGTACTGACTGCAACAAATGGAGTGTGAGCGCGTGTAGCGTTAAAACGCGGGACGCTGGCGTCTGTCGTTTGGCTCTCGCATTCGAAGGCTTTCGACGAGTGCAGTGGAAACAGAAGCAGCTAGCTTTAGGTCTACCCACTAATCGTGCCAGTCAGAGCTCGGCGTTCTGACGTCCCTGAGCGCACACCTCGTCTCTCTCACTTTCTCGGCGCACACTCAACTTGTTTACGTGAGAGCCACCCGACAAGCGACGTTTTATAGTAAATAACGACGCTTGTGCCATCTTGGTGTTTAGTATAATTGTCATGTCGGGGATTGATGGGCCGATGCTCTAAGCGTAGCGGCTCTAGGTTTGGCCGAGCGAAGCCGACGATACAAACACGGACATGTTGCTTTGAATGGAGCTTTCATGTCACGAGTGTGCGTGTACAGTAGGTCTGCAGAGAGCGTTGCGCTCCCTCCTCTAGCTTTGCATCGACTCGCACCTAAGAATTCAAGTACGCACGGCGATCACCGCAGTCCAGCACGCGTTCGGGCTTCAAAAAGCGAGCGAAGCATGCGCCGTATAGACTCTTTTCAGGGAAAACGCCACCAGGCGGTGCTCCAGTTTTTGACGTCCCAAAGAACTTCCGGTTCATGAAAAGAATGAACAAAGCCCACCTTAACACCGCTGCTTGAAATGTCCAAGAAACGTTTAACCCCTAATTTTCCAGGTGAACGCCAAAAGAACAAAGAAGCGCGAGATCTGTTAAAATGCTTCGAGTTTTCTTGTAAACCAACTTGTCTCCTCCAAGATGTAATATTGTACAGCCGAAGGCCCTCGTTAAATCTTGTGGGGTCCCGTCGGCATCCCTTCTGGTCGACAACCGGACGCCGGCGCCTGGAGACTCGTTTTCGGTCCCCTCCGTGGCAAGGACGGCGCCTTTGAGGTTTGGTTCCCGAGCGCCTCCTCTCTCGGGACCCATCTTGAAGACATTGGCGGTGTCGGCGGTGGACATCATAGGACCCCCCTCCCGGACCGCGTCGGCGCCCGGGGCCCTGCTCGTGCCGCGGCAGAGCCAGACGGGGAGCTCGAGGGAGAGACCGCCCACGATGGAAGACAAGCGGCCCCTGCCGGTCTGGTGCGTGGCGACGGCGGGAACGGGGGAAGCTCGGACGACGGCAAATAGAAAAGGGACCCATCTGGAAGACGTTGGCGGCGTTGGCGGTGGACATCCAGGACCCCCCCTCCCGGACAGCGTCGGCGCCCGAGGCCCTGCACGTGCTACGGCAGAGCCAGACGGGGAGCTCCAGCGAGAGACCGCCCAAGATGGGAAAGAAGAGGCTCCGGCCGGGCTGGTACGAGGTGACGGCGGGAACGGCGGGGAGGGCTCGGACGACGGGAAATAGGGTGGGGACTCTTGCGCGGGAAACGGGCCACGACGGACGTTCGCGCTGGTGGCGACCGCGCCGCCGGCTCGGCGACGGCCCAGTGACATGGTCCGGACTTAGACCCCGGATTTGACCCTCGACGGCGACGTCCACGGGATGCGGTGTGGACTAGCACCGCACGGACGATCGGCATGCAGCATACAGTGGCGGCGCACCTCTTCCAGGCCTCCTCGATCACTCCTCCCGATCCCGAAACCCCCAGCAGAATGTGAGTGGAATAAACCCCTTCTGCCGAGAGCTATGCGTTTGCTGTGTCACGTTCATCCGGGGACAGGGGCCCGGGGAATCGGACAAGAACCCTACATAATTGGCGCCCAACGTGGGGCCTGATTTGAATTCAGGCTAGAGTTCCGATTCCTGGCCTGTTTCCGGTTGGATGGGGGCATTGCTTCCGCACTCCTTTTGGGGGCGATCCTCGTTGTAGCAACGCCGCACGAGATCCGACATGATCGTTTGCTTGATGAGGAAGCGCGGACCTAGACGTTGTCTTTGCTGACAATCCTTTGTCCCAATCAACCAGGAGTTTATCTCCTGTGGCGAGGAGCGCCTTAATCTACTGTTAAGCTGTGCCGTCGGATGCTGGCAGGTTTATCCTTCAGCCTCTTGATGCCGCGCAAGTGTTCAGTGTGCGTGGATATTCCCGCCCCTTTTGAGGCCTGCAGTGTCGGGTGTTCCGTCGCCCCAACTGCGCCTCCGGCGGTCCATGCCCGATGGGTGAGATGTCAGCTCACCTATTAGGCGACGTGACGCGCGCAGCCGCCTTTATTCGCGTGTCGTTGCAGTGTTTTCGATTGACTGTTTTCGATCGCTCGCGTCAGAGAGGGTTCGCTGTGGGAGTATCTCAATACTACTTATATTGCGGACGGCGGTTGCACGGACTGCATTGGGCAATTATTCCCGAACTGCATTTTGTCCGGGGGGAGACTAGCGTTCTAGTTTTACTGCACGCTCGCTCCCAGTTGGCCTTGTTTGAGCTGAGGCGCGGTTTTGAGCTCCGTGCGTCCACAGCGTTAGGTACATTATGCGTCTTTGTGGTTCCAACCGCACTGATGCAGTACTTTGCGGCCAGAGGTGACACCTTGGGACTAATCCCCCCAAGTGTTGCCGGATACGCGAAGCCTGGTGTTAATGCATCGGAATTCCGAGAGCCACCGAGTTTACGTGCCCACCTTATCAGTGGCTGTGTGTAATGCTCCGTGGGGTCCAGGTTGACGCGATTGTTAAGTTTTGTTAGTCCCTGGCTGTAGAGTCGTGAGGGTGATCCCGCTTAATTGCGTGCAGTTTTTGCCAGACCCTCACACCGCCATATCGGAGTTTGCGCTTCGGGCGGAGATTGCTCTCGAGTTGTTGTCCCCATGCCCGGAGAGGGGGCGGAAGAGTGCGTGCCCTGCGTTGCCGCTGGGCATGGTACAGGCTCTCCGCCGTGTTTGGAACGCGTAGGGACGCGAGGGCGTGCGGAGGGATAACGGGTTAGAGTAAAAGAGGGAAAGACGGTTAGGTGGGGAAGGAGCCGTTCTCGTGTAGTGAAGAGCCTCACGGAGGAGTTGGCGGTCTTGCGATAATGAGACGAGTTGTTGATAGTTTTATCCTGTACAGCTGCGCGGGAGGCCCGGAAAAACGTACGGTTCACGTCGGCGGGTGCCCGGGAAGCCTAGAAATTATGGCAGCGGCATGGCCGTCGGCGGCTTTTAACTGTTGTGCGTTAGGTCAGCCCGTCGCTGTACAAACTGCAGCTTTTGCATGAACGACCAGCGGGTGTTGGAATCCAGCGGTAAATGCGGTAAACACTTCGACGCTGCGGAAGCGGTTTATGCGGAGCAAACATAGTTTATTAACTCGTCCATTTCCAAAACCCGCCGGTTAAATTATATGGCACTTCGGTGTCGCGCTTGTAGCGCGGAAGAGAAGAGGCGCGTGCGGGGTGCTTACATTGTTCGGACCCGGCCAGTCTTTTCAGTCGCAAGAAGACTTTTGAGTTATGCGGTGTTTTGACTTGGTCTGGGGCGGGCTTTGTGCCTACCCCGCTGCGTTCATCCAAGGGCTCGTTGCTTGGATTGAGAATAGAAAAGTTGCGAGACGCGTAGATGAGGTACCTCCATTGCTCGATCCTGGCCGGCCTTGACAGTCGCAAGAAGACTTTTCAGTCATGCAGTGTCGTGGCTTGGCCGGGGGAGAACTTGAATGTGCATCAATTCGTTGATCGCAACTTTCGAGCTTGTGCAGGGCCAGGACTCAAAGTGGTTACTCCACTACACTTCGGTGTGTACCCCCGTTGCACGCTCGTCGCTCTTGTTTGGAGATTATCCCCGATCAGTGACGCGGCAACCTCTGGTACACGGCCAGACGTTGCGGACAAAGCCTTGTAAGAAGAACGTCCAATAGACTTGCTGGGCGCACCATCCGGCGTATCAAAACGTTGTCCCCTTGTGCTGGTCTCAATGACTGGTACCGCGGGACACGGGCCTCTCGAGGTGGTGGTTATCCAACGCGATCACGGCATGCTGCGTAGCGTAGTCGTGGCTTGCTTGTGGCGTAAGAGTCGCGAACGATGTTTATAGGTGAATGTGCGTAATGTTAATTGGTACTGTTAGCGGCAGGTTTTGTTCGTATGGTTATTGTGTATCGCACCTCGCGAACGGTGTAGGATTTGTAGCTGCTTGTGACGTGCAAACGGTTCTCCTTTGTGTTGATGTTTTGTGTTTTATCACAAAGGATTTTAGCTCTGGAAAAAGTGAATTCTGTTGTCGGAGAAGCGATTCTCTAGTGCTCCCGTAGGTTATGTAAAATTTTAGTAGAGACGAATTGGGTTGTCTTGTATAAGAACAATGCTTGTCAAATAACTAAACATTTCGACAATAGCTTAGTGTTGTTGCATGCTTCTTGACTTGATGATTAGTTTTATTTTTGGGTTACGTCTTTCGAACATGTAGCGTGACGACCTTGATGAATGTATGCTTAATAGTTTTAGAACGAAGAGGTTCGTTGGTATCTTGTGGCATGCCCACTGAGCTGAAGATTTGGTTTCGTCACGCTGTACGATATTCAGTGCCGCGTTTTGTTAGCGTTTGTTTTTCTGTCTGGAACACTGGGGTGGAAGGGATCTTTAAATGTTGGTGTATCGTGTGCGACTTAGTGCCCGTGAGCGCTGTGAGCGGTGGTTTGCTGGGACCTCTTCTGGACTGTGCGCTACCTGGTCGAGCTTCTCGGTGAATGAACGGTCCCCATGGGCTTGCCTCGCTTGGCGCCCTCGCCGCGATCATCAAGGGTGATCGCCATTATCGGCGACACTCAGCTGAGCTCCCATGCGGTATTTGGGTCATCTGCGCCACCTCCACTTCTGACCTTCATGACCCCCGGGCCTTCGTTTGAGGGGGGGATGGTGTGGGGTCCCGTCGGCATCCCTTCTGGTCGACAACCGGACGCCGGCGCCTGGAGACTCGTTTTCGGTCCCCTCCGTGGCAAGGACGGCGCCTTTGAGGTTTGGTTCCCGAGCGCCTCCTCTCTCGGGACCCATCTTGAAGACATTGGCGGTGTCGGCGGTGGACATCATAGGACCCCCCTCCCGGACCGCGTCGGCGCCCGGGGCCCTGCTCGTGCCGCGGCAGAGCCAGACGGGGAGCTCGAGGGAGAGACCGCCCACGATGGAAGACAAGCGGCCCCTGCCGGTCTGGTGCGTGGCGACGGCGGGAACGGGGGAAGCTCGGACGACGGCAAATAGAAAAGGGACCCATCTGGAAGACGTTGGCGGCGTTGGCGGTGGACATCCAGGACCCCCCCTCCCGGACAGCGTCGGCGCCCGAGGCCCTGCACGTGCTACGGCAGAGCCAGACGGGGAGCTCCAGCGAGAGACCGCCCAAGATGGGAAAGAAGAGGCTCCGGCCGGGCTGGTACGAGGTGACGGCGGGAACGGCGGGGAGGGCTCGGACGACGGGAAATAGGGTGGGGACTCTTGCGCGGAAAACGGGGCACGACGAACGTTCGCGCTGGTGGCGACCGCGCCGCCGGCTCGGGCGACGGCCCGGTGACATGGTCCGGACTTAGACCCCAGATTTGACCCTCGACGGCGACGTCCACGGGATGCGGTGTGGACTAGCACCGCAGGGACGATCGGCATGCAGCATACAGTGGCGGCGCACCTCTTCCAGGCCTCCTCGATCACTTCTCCCGATCCCGAAACCCCCAGCAGAATGTGAGTGGAATAAACCCCTTCTGCCGAGAGCTATGCGTTTGCTGTGTCACGTTCATCCGGAGACAGGGGCCTGGGGAATCGGACGAGAACCCTACAATCTCCAACTTTGTTGTCCGTGTGGGATTTATACTTTCTAGCACTGGTGACATAAGCAAGCTCGACAGCCTTGCAACGACGGAGCGGTCGGGAGTCGCTTGGGGCACAAGCGGCAGTTCCTGTTCGTAAACAGCAAAAGGGTCTACACGCATGAACCCTGAAAGAAGAGAGTTTTAGTAGATCATTCCGATGCCTCCGATAACGGTACCCGATAACGATGCATGCGCTTAGCCGTCGGTAGAGTATCGGGTATCGTTATAGGAGTCAACGGAACGACCTACTAAAACCAACAAGAAGCCCTTTTCTGGAGTGGTACACTGGCGACGTGCGTGACCAAAAGCGTCGCTGTGTTTTGCGTTGCACGGTTGACCCAACGCTCCCCGTGCGTCTTGAGTGCGATGAATTCTACGTTCGCTAATGAAGATAAGAGGGACGTCAGACAGACATCCTTGACGATGTTGCTTGAAACACTCGATGAGTCCAAGCTTCCACCGTGATTTTTACACACCCCGTCGAAACAGACGCTTGCAATTGATAACCCTGGTCCTGACCCCTGACGTCACAGATGGGCCAGAAAATGGTTCCACTGGAACACCTCGTCACCGATAGAGTCACTGAACGAGGATCGAAATACCTAACCTAGTGAGTATAACAATCTGTGCTCCTCGCGTGTTTTCACTGGAATTTCCCCGGTTGAAAGCATGTCCCAGCGAGGTGTGTACCTGCGCCGTAGCTGAGCAGCATGTCCAGCACGGCGCTGTTCTTGACACGTACGGCCTGGTGCACCAGGCTGGCCCCGGTGACCTTGTCGCGGTCGTTGACCTTCAGACGCCTTGAGGTGTCGCTAAGGTCCTCCAGGTAGCGGTGCAGGACGCCCTCTTTTCCCTCGGAGATGACCTGCGCAGGAAAAGCATAAGCTTGCGGATGAGACGTACTCCTTCGCTTTGATGCGCCGTGTTAGAACTACTTTCTAAACGCGTCATACTGCTCAATGGTGCGGTTATCACGGGAGGCGGAGAAAAGGTCACCGGAGGAGAGCTCACCTCAAAACTGCCATGTGCGGAGAGAAACTCACGGGGTTTTTGACGGATGCGGGTAAAAGCTTACCTACAAATATGTAAACCGAGCCTTCGCTCCACTGAGATACATTGATTCAACGGAAGTATGCTTGATTGCCATATGTGCGTGAGTTGATTCTGTACATTACAAACAAATATATATATTTTTTTATCATATACATTTTGGGTTGCACGACGTATATAAAGTAGTCCGATAGAACGGTAAATAAAAGATAACCTGGGAAAATATAGTCAGTGGAGTAGCGGTTGCTTCGGTTTGAGTTGTTTCTGGATTGTTATACGTTAAATAACCTTATATGTAGTAGCCGACACTCAAAAAATGAACCACGAAAAGCTCACCGGTGAACATTACCGGTGAGCTTTTCTCCGGGATTCGCTTATTGCAGGAACAGCGAAATCATTCCGCCAAATTACGTTCAATCTGGGAGTTCTGATGTTGACGAAGGCGATTTTTCATTGGAAACTGCAAGAGCGACCTTGCGTGTGTTTTCATGAGCTTGAACGGCTTCGCCTTTGTCGTATAGAATGCACGACGGACATCTGCCCAGGATAGTTACGTGCATTACCGTGCTTACTTTCACCTTTCGATGGAGTACGCAAGTTTTCTGGCGGCGACGGAAAATGATGTTTTTGAATCGGTAGCCACAGTTCAAGACTCTCTCTATGGCCTCGCATAACAATGCTCGTGTGGCCTGTGGTGGGCGGTATAAAAATCGCGGTCGCACTGCTAAAACACGATACAAAAGACAGTCGTTAGACGGTGTACGAAGGTTCCATTATTCATACAACAACTGGCCGCAGACATGGCCGAAGCATGCACGTGCATTCACACCTGCTTGTGGCCTGCCCTCGAATAATTTTCTGTCGTCATGTCGGCAGCGAACGTCATGACTGGGACTGCGGAGTCCCGAGCTGCTTTCAGTAATGCGCCATACAGTTTCTTTGGGGTACGCAAAAACGATTTGTTATCCTGACACAAGAATGTCGATGAATGTTTGGCAATAAAAAAAATAAGAGAAACATCCTGGCAGGGAACTTTGGCTCGAATTAAGGGAAAGGAAAAAATACGTAGCAATAAGAAAACTACGATGAAATAATTTTTAGTGATGATGTGAAATCGTGCGAAAGATAGTTATGTTCCAAATTACTGTCTAATTTGGGTTCCGTGTTTTTTAATAAATCCGAAAAGTCCGAAAAACACACGCCGGTAAAATTGTGGTCAGTTCGGATTCATCGGATAAACTCCAAATTTTTATGTGCCAATGCCACCCCCCCTCCCCCCTCCCCCCCCCCCCCCCCCAAAAAAAAAGTAAAAACGTTTCTTTTCCCTTTTTTTTTTTTTTTTACAATTTGATCAGCGCAGGGTCAATTGTCTTGAGAAAATGCCACCATAATTCTCTTTCAAATCTCGGACCGCTGTCAAAAGAGGTCTTACCGCTTATCTCGTCAACGTTGATTCCGGGCAACAGGTCATTGTACATTCGGGTCACGACGAATGCCACTCTTTTGGTTTTTAGTTTGGGCATGCAATTTGTGCTTTAGAGAAAGGAGAGGTTATGTTTTTGTAACAGTGAACGCTCTGAACCATAGAGATTGTATAAAATAGGAAAGAGGGGCAGTTGAAACTTCTCTATTACATCCTTAACCACTCCACCTCGCGCGGCCGTGGGCTAGATTGATGGAATAGGATGGGATGGCTACCGGCTTCTTAGCGACTACCTTCGGGAGTTTATTGATTTTAAGATTTCGACGTTTATCTAAGCAACACTTGTGTGCAACTTTTATCGTGAGATAAATTGGTATAGCCAATGGCAATGGCACCAGTGCAAAAATCAGCTGAGAAAATTTTAATAGATACAAGGGCGTTTTATTTTTTATTTGGCATACGTTTGCACCCGGTTAATATTGATTTAAATATGTTTAATAGGAAACACAGCAAAATTAAACTCCGAATTCTGAATAACTGGGAATCAAACGAAAAAAACTCTTATAAACTCCGAATCGTCGGCAAAAAAAAAAAATAATAAACCCCGAAAACACGAACTTCCGTTTATAATGTAGGCACAAAGCACATTGAGAGTTCCGTACTTGCGACGAACGATATCCTACCCCTTGTACAGCTTTGCAGATTGGTACAGCGTGTTCCATGTTAAAATGACTTTGGAAATGTTAAACGACCACGCATCTATTTGGCACAATGGATCTCATGTAGGCCCCCCTGTTGGTTGTGATCATTTGCACACTTGTATAGAACGTGGAGAATAGGCCGATCTCACCAAGCGTTCGGCGCATGCGTGACACCGCCATAACTTTAGTTCACAGGAGTTAGACGGCAGTGCACGAGAGGGCTCGTGCCGTCTCGTGGTCTACACGCGAAGAGCTCCAGTGAGGTAATCGTACATGAAGAAAGACTGAAGTTCCTTCGATGCAATGCGGCAGCGGTGGCGTAGTCAAACTGGCTGGTGAGATCGCTTAATTCAGAAACCGATTAATCTTCCGCGTCTCGTGGTCTCACCTGGAATAGATTCATATTGGGGTAGGACTTGCTCGACCGAAGGGGCAGGTGCGCCGACAGTCGGGACGACTGGCGCTGGCGGAGCCAAGGCATACCGGCGGTGGTTCAGTTGGCGCACGTTCCTCAGGTAGATGCGATCGACCTCGCGCAGGACGCCGGCCGAATACGGCGTTTCACGGAATCGATGCGCTCGCAGTGGAAGCAATCCACCCCCCGAGCCGGGAAAGTCCGTCGGTTCCACCGGAGATTACTGGGCAAGGAGCGCGCGAGATAACAGTTCGCAGATAAGGTGGGCGCGAGGTGCCGCTTCGGCGGGCATTCAAACGTCGCAGTCTTTCGCCGTGGCAACGCCGCGAGACGCGCGGCAAGGTCCAGCCTTCGTGCGGATGCGACCGAGACATTGGAAGCACCACGCCATCGCGCATATCGTAAACGAGAACCCGAAGGACCAACTGGCATCACCGAGATCCGCGGCGGGCTGGAGCACTCATCTCGAAGAGCGCGGAGACTTCCTGGTTTCCGGGTTATGTCCGCGGTTGCGTCTCGTTCCACTTATCCCGGGTCGAACGTAAACATCGGCGCAGCTGATAGAGGCGAACCGTGAGTTGCCGACTCGGCCGCTCACGCAAAACCACACCCTGCACTTTTTGCAGAAAGTATACACGCGGCAAAGGTCGGTTGGAAGTTCCCGTTTCGTCCGTGGCTTCGAAGATTGCCGGATCCCTCCGCGCGAGTCGGCAAATAAATGAGCCGCTGCACCGAGACGCTGTCGGGGTTTTCAAGGTCTCTCTCGCCGACGCGTTTTCAGCTGCGTTTATCTTATTGCGGGGGAGCCACCCCGGCAGTTTTCTCTTCGCGCTTTCGCCCATCTGTATCAGAGTGGATGGAGCCACTTGATATGCACTAAGGCAACGGTACCGCACAAGAACTACGGAACGGGGAGGCGATTGCAAGCAAGCGCGAAACGCGCGCTAGGCCAAGCTCTTCCGGGAAGTGACAAAAGAAAAACATTATACCGCGGTCACACAGCTTATGCATCACACAGAAGACAGTGTGCAAACACTGTCTGAGGCCTTCCTTGTATGACGGTCACAATGGTGCTACAAAAGACATGTTTGAAACATGTATGAAGCAAACATGTTTGGAATATGATTCAGGCGCCTCCGCAGATAGCCATGTCATCATGTCTGCAGCAATTTCTTATGTATGATGTATCAACAGTGCGACTGCGGATTTACGGGCAAGGGCCATGTGTAGCACGTAAACGAGGATGACCAAAGCTCCGGGTCCGAGGCGTTCACACTTTGTCGAGCGTGAACGGTCAGGCACGTTGTTGGACATTACGACGTTCTTTACTTTTGTTTCGATCAGGTCAACCGTAAACATTACTTCTTTCGTTGATTCATTCGAGTCGCCGGTAAAGCGCAGAATCTCACGAGCCAAAGTATATTAGCCTGGTTTCAGACTGGCGATACGATTTATTACTCCGCGCACTTAATTACTCAAAAAAAAAAAGAACCGAATTATACCGAACGCCGTTAGTTTTCCTAAAGAGGCCCCATGGCAAAAACTAATATGACGTCGATGGCTGAAGGCTGGTTCACACATTAGGGAGTTTTAGAAAAGCGCACACTAAAGCTTTGCGTACGCAAAGAAAAGCGTCGTCGCCACTGCGGATGCACCGAACGCTAAGCACGTTTTGCGCTTTGCGTGCGCTATGTTAGCGTACGCTATTTCTCGGAAATTGCGTGCGTACACAAAGAGTCTTTGCGTTACTTCAAGAAAGATTCGTAATGAGAAGGTGGCTAAAGCCAAGACGAGCACAGTTGAAAAATGACGGCCCCCAGGACCTTGCGACCGTGGCCTCATGGCTACGGCCGCTTTGGCGGCGACATAAGCACGACGTCGGCGGCATCTTCGCGACTGCGATTTTCCATACGGGACGACATTGTACTCGGGTTGGAAAACCCAGTAAGGCGGGCAACGATCATCGGCAACTTGATGCTTGCGACGAGCAAACATTTCTCGCCAAAGGTACAGCGTGCGAAGGTCAGTACACGAGACATCCCTTGCCGAGGCGAGGCAAGCGGACACGACCGATTGACCGCTCGTGTCGAATTCTCAAGTTTAAACAAATCTAAAATGTTACTCTGGACCAAAACTCTTGTTTTTTCTCAAGTTACAGCATTTCGTGAAATAAAAATTGTGACTGTATCTTGGTGGCGCTGTAAGACCGAGATGCTTAGGCTTTTGCGTCATGGCGGAGAAGCTCTATTCTAAAAGTCTCTTAATTTAACGCTAGAGCGTGCGCTAAAATTGCGTACGTTCTTCCAAAACTCCCTATTTACGTCGACCGCGTTGCGCTGCGTTGCGTCGTGTAGCGCAACGTTTTCCCATTGGCTCGTCGTATAGGTCACCATAGCAACAACTCGACGCAAGCAGCGTTAACGAAGTCAAACGGAGTCAAACGCAACTGTGTGAACGGGCCTTGAGGGGACTAAAGGCCTGTCGTCAGCTACTTATCGTCTGCCGTGAGCAACAGTTTTGACGGTGCGATACAAAGCTGGTAAACGCTCCCGTCAGCACGCGCTTAGCGCGACGTCGGGGCTATGCTTGTAGCGCTCCGTTGCATGTGCGAACAGGCCTTAAGAAGACTAAAGTGAAAGCTTAAGAAAGCTTAAAACGAACCGTGTTCCCCTTCTAAACTCCCAGCCAGAACGAGCGTCCACGTGATCTGGATCCGGTTTTATCCGCGCGCTTGAGAAAAAAGTCCAGCGGGCTTGTCACTTTATTAAGAAAGGAAAGAACTGGCCAAGCGCTGCCAAAGTAGCTATGGGCGTAGGTCTCCACTAGCTTTTACTGTTTACAAAAAAAAGTAACGGTCCAGGGGAGTATGACAACAATAAAGTGATCCAACTCGCCACTGCGGCCAACGAAAGAAGCACGCGACAAACTCAACAACATCTTCGAGTGAGAACTGTCGCGAGGCTTCCTAGTGGAACAATTTATACACCGTCCCAGAAAAGCGACTTCTTGCAGCTGTATTTTTAACGTTGGTTTGTTTGGCTCTGCTTTCTCGCTCGCGAGAGTGGGAAGCTCGCGCCATTTGGTTCCTCTTTATCGCACATTCGGGCCTTTGCTTTATGTAAACAGTAGAAAGATGGTGTTGGTTGGGGTTGGAGTAGGATCCAGCGGCCTTGGGTCGGCAATGCAGATGGAACGAGTGTAGGTGCTGTGCCCCGGACATTTTTAGATGGCGGAAACTTTCGTCACTGCAGGGACCGCATACAGTCCCACGCGGAAACTTGGAGGGAGAGCATTCTCGAGTTCAAGGAGAGCGTCGACGCAGTGCTGGTGCGAATGTTTATAGAAAATTAATAAATAAAATGAAAATATACACGAGAATAGAAAGATACGCAGATGTATATAATTAGCTTTAAAAAACATCAAAAACATCAAGAAAACCAAAGAGGCAAGACCAAGCGGAACAGGAAGTAATAACTTAGTACCAAAGAAAAAAATACACAACTAATCATAAATGCCTGCGAGATTTTGCCAAGTTAGTTGGGATGCTAAGGTTCAGCTGCCTCCCTGTTTTTTGTTTTTTTTTTTAATTGGCTTTATAAACTAAAAAAAGTTGTGGTCAATTACGGTCCTATTTTTTTTTTAATTTTAAATTGAATTAAACCTGCTATACCGTCAGGAGGTAGAAAGAAACAAGTTTATTTCCTTTATTTTTTGCTCTCACTAAGAAATTGAGTAAATCTGAGGATCGCAATCGGCCGACGCACTCCTCCAGGTGCGATCCCCACGACTGCGTCACATCCGTGATTCCCACAATCACGTCAGGAGTGAATGTTCCGAGTATGCGAGAGGAAAAACAAACAAAAAATGGAGCGTTTCTATTCTTGGAATGGCAGAACGACTAAGTAGCCTTAGCGACAGTCGGGTTGCTTAGTATACTTGTTTAATTGCGTAAAATTCTTACTTGATATCATCTCATGGCCCCTTTAAAAAAAAAACTCAAAAAAAAAAAAAAAAAACATGGCTGCGAGCAAGCGCGATGACGTTGGCGGTGTTTCTCCCTCTTCAAGGCGCTCGTTCAAAAACGAGACGGCGTTCTATTTTTAACGCCCCGAGCCACAACCCCTGAGGCCGCGGGATTCGAAACCCCCGGTGTACACTGTCAGTGAGGCGCCGCTTGTTGAGACCAGGGGTAGCGCGGCTCCCATTGGCCGAAAGCGCTGACCACGTGATCTGAGGCTGTGGCTACGTCACAGAGGCTCTCCCGAAGCCACGTATATGGCCTCTCTCGAGAGCGAGCGAGCGAACCGACGAGCTTTCGAAATAGCCTCAGCTGCGTGCCTCTCGCGTTGCGCGTGTACACAGACACACCGAGGACGGGTGTGAGGTACGCCGTTGCATAGCGGAGGCTCGTTTTCTCTGAGGTCGGGTGTTCTCGGTCTCGGCTGAGCGATGCTTGAGCCCGAATTAGAACCCCGAGTCGTGGCGTTTTTCGCATTTGTGTCGCCCCAAACGGCAAAGGCAAGCCGGGTTTACTAGGGTTGATCGAACGCCATTTTACCGAAGCACATTTTAGAGAACGGGCGCGTTTAATCGAAGCACGGTTTAGAGAGAACGGAACCTCAGTTTGGAGAGACGCCGTTTATCAAGAAGGAGATGCAGCATAAGAAAGGCTTTTCAACTTCGCGCGTGCATCATTGGGACGCGTGTTAACCCATCTCCCCCCCCTCCCCCCCCCCCCCCCCCCCCCCCCCCCCCGCTGCGATCCCGCCATTCCGCGGTGGTAGTCTGCGGCGGTTCATCACAAAAAGGTTAACTTACCTGACCCATCCGTACACGCCACTTCGCGGGGCCGAATTCGCTAAAAAGAGGCTCATCGCCATTTTCTCGGAGCTGGGTTTCTCTATACAGGGATTCGATAAACTGGGGGTCGGTAATACGGCGTTCCCTGAAACGAGCTTCTCTAAACCGCACGCGTTCTCACGGGGACGCGTCGTTTGACGTGCACCGCCATATCGATGAGGCGCTCGTTCTACGCGCAAAACCTACAAAACGACAGTAAGGCTTTTACGTGTGCCAAACCAACGAAAGGCATCTGGCACGCCCCAGCGGAGGTCTGAGGTTTTTAATTTCGACCACCTGGGAACCGAAAGCGCGGTTACACGGCGCCTAATAAGCCTCCGGCAGAATCAAGTCATTTCGGTCGGGATTCGAACCCGCCACCTGGGGATGCGTAGCACGGCGCTTTGCCTCGGAGCCACCGAGGCGGCGACAGTAACGCAAACTCCTTCACTTCGCTTGCAGTCGGGTATTTGCTCGATGGCATCGCAGAACTCGACCTGACGCGCACCACGGGACGCTTGCTTATTGCAGCTTATTCAGCTTTATATATATATATATATATATCAGCAAGCACGCGTTAAATTGACACTAATGTGAGTTTGTACATCACTACTGCGTAATGAACGTTAAAGACCTTATGCTAGCGGTTGTACTGCACTGGTTATAGATTTCTCATCCAGAGTGGAGGTGTCGGACGCCCCTCGAAGCAGGCTAACTTCCCGCCGCCTAAAGCTTCTATACAGCAAAGTACATCTTAAATATCATACAGTCATGGAAGTTTTTCGTAACAGCAGCCGTGGTGCAACAAAAAAGCGCGTCAGGACGTTCACTCTCAATATGTGCTCGTCGATGCATAAAAGCAGAAATAATGGTGTCACTCTGTAACTTATCTCTGACAATGGCGCGCGCACGTGCTACTATACTATTGG